TGTATGCGTTTGACGCATGGAATAGCATAACTAAGTGGCTACTAGCCTAAAGCCAGCACTGCCATTTGTTTTTGTCCTTGATAAAACTAAAACGTTACATCTGAAATTGTGCATGCAAATACATTTAAAATGAAGTCTTACACGTTGTGGCCCAACAACTGCTGCCTCTGGTTTTAAAGTTGGAACTGCTTCATGCTTTAACAGTTTCTTGTTGAATCTGGCATTGAATTCGTGGAGATTCTGGAAGCTGTCTTTCGTAAATGCGCTGCACAGAGAGCTAAATTACTATGGTAATTTTCAGGAAAATTTAAAAACATAAATTTTCACCATTGTTGACAAACTACAGCGTCCGTAGGAAGCCCGAACACAGAAGACCTGACAGCTGGGTGAAAACGCACTTTCAACGGCGTGGCTACAGCACTTGCTCTTTGACAAATCCGCAGAAATATCGCCATGCCCCCTTTTTTGCATATTCTGGAGGGAGGGTTGGTGTAAACATGTGGGTTAGTTGTGTGTAAAACACGGGTAGTATCTCATTTTAGTCGTCCATTCGATTCGTTTTTGTAGGCATTAAACTTCCTGATTTAAGACCAAATCTCTGCTTGTTTTGGACTTTCAGTGCAGCAACTTTGCAGATACTGTTCATGCACCAACAGCAACATTACACACTATTTAAAATGAAAAGAGTGAAATCGCAATCAACCACCCCTTAAGTACTTTTTTTTTTTATATATGGTTTGTTGTAACCTAATAATCAAGTAAACTGGAGTTGCTTTACTCCAGTATGTGTTTTTAAAGAATTTATTCTTGCATATACTTCATAAAAATCTGTAAAGATTTCACTGTAAATCGACTCTCGTATCATCACATGAAGATGTTTTTTTTTTTCTTTTACTTGATAAAGTATAAACTATCAATCATAAGACATGTGGATTTTGAAAAACAGCTGTTTCAGCAAATTTGTCATTATGCTGACATCCCATTCACTTTATTGATAGATTTGAAAGGCATTAGAATTTGATACAGTAGTCTTTAATACTTTTTACCTTAATTTTGCCTAAAGGTTCTTAAAAGAGACTGTAAAACTTAACTTAAACTTGAAAACTTTTAAAACTTAAAGTGTTTTTTTTTTTTTTTTTTGACGTAAGAACCACTTTTCTCTAATGTTGTACGTAATTGCATCTGCTGTAGACTTGGAACAAACTTTTTTTTTTTTTTTTTTTTTTTTTTTTTGTAATTCAAGTTTTTATTCTTTTCATCCAGAACATGACAACACATCTATCAAAACTGCTTGCAAGGCCAGAATATTACAGTGGTTAAATGTAATAAAGAAAAAAAAGGTAATACAGTAAAATAAATAAGTAAATTATTAATTCACATGTAAAGACAACGTCACAAATGACCAAAAATCTTCCCAAACTGGAGTATCGATCGGGACCCCCGTTTTGTTCTCATGTAATTTGCAAAGCAGACATTCGTAGTATGAAGCTGTCCTGGGGCCTCATTTATAACTGTTGCGTACGCACAAAACAGGCCCTGAAAGAGGCGTACGGCACTTGCGCACCTGCATGCAAACTCTGAACCATGCGTACGAACGTTTTGGAGATGGAGCAGTTTGGCGACACCGATAGTGAGCTCGAGTTAAATGTCTTTGATCACTTTTAGACAGAAAATCTAAGGAAATTATACATGTACAGAAAGATAATTTCACTCACCAAACCGATCACTTGAAGCAAATATCCATCCCTTCTTAAATATCCGCACCAGCGAATGCGTTGTGCCGTTTAGTGAAACTGACGCACATATAGCCTATAATCTAACGGCAGATGAAGTAAAACCGTAAATCTTCATTATGAGTCCATCATAAATGCAGTGCATGTTCACAATAACAGTTTAAATACGTAAATGAATGATTTAAACAATGTTTTACTTCTGATATAAACATTTAGATTAAATATGCCATTCTCATTAATGGAGTTAAACACTTACTACATGAAATCATTACTGAGAAGTTGCAACATTTTTATATTCAATAAATATAAATGTTTGTTGTGGATGTGATGCTTTTGAACACTTTTACTCTGGCATGCTGTGTGTGTTTTAATGTGTTAACTACATCTTAACTAGCCCTAGCATCTTCAATTTTTATACCATGTCATGTTAATCCAATTGGAATTTATATCCATTTAATACAACAATGCATTGGTTAAATTGAATTGATGGAAATCTTTAACAGTCTATCAGTAAAGTGAATGGGAATTAACCTTTGTATGTGTTCTGTATGTTTTAAGAAGTTAGGGCTGAATTTGAGAAACGCTGTTGGCACTGTAATTATCACCTTAAATGTTAAATGCGCATGCACAATATCAAAATGAAACTTCTGTAAATTTTGCGTCATTCTAATGTACTATAAGGCTGTTCGTGTTTTTCATAGCAGAATTCTGCTGAGGTATTTATGATCCATCTGATGAATCATGTCTACTCAGGTTTTGCCCTGTGGTGGTAAGCTCTGTTGCTGGATAATACTAATGTTTGTAGTCCATTAACCCAGAAGACAATGATCATTTGAAGCATGGGCTTCCTTGGGAATTTCCAGTGACTTGTAGATATCTTCGCATTTTGTCCTTTAAGTTGCTCCGACTACCACAAGTATGTGAGTTTCTGTGCTTGGCAAAGCAAACCATTTTAAATCCCATGTTGTAATTTATGTAATACTGCAAGAAATGTAGTTTAAAAAATCTAATGTAGTAAATGCTTTTAAAATTTCCTTTTTGATGTTTGATTGTCATTTGTTTTAGAGCAATGAGTCTTTTAAAGTGGTGTATCACAGACTTTTTTTTTTTCTTGAAAAAAAAAAATTCTGAAACCGCTATGCTAAAAAGCCATAAATTCCAGAGGGAAACCCATGGTGAATTATCCTCTCAGTTTTGCTAATTAAATTAATCAATTGTAAAAGGTCATAAAGGCTCAGTTTTTATTTTAGCCTTTAGTCAATTTGTGAAAGCAAGATGGGAAGAATCATCATTATTTTAGTGTACTGTTCAAAAGTTATTTTTTTTTAATTCTCGTTCCCATCAAGGCTGTATTTCATTTAAACAAAATTTAGTAATATTGTGCAAAATTACAATTTTTAAAAACTTTTCTTTTTTTAATATTTCAAAAGGTGATAGACGTTCAGTTCACATTTTCCCATGATCCTAGAGAAATCATCTTATGTTAATTTGTTGCTGAAGAAACTTCTTTTTTATCGTTTCAAATGTGTATATATTTGTTTTGACTATCACATGATCAATTTAATTATTTAAAATCAATTTAATTTTGATCAATTTAATTAAGAGTACTTTTCAGCAATATATCAAATAATTTGAGAATTTTGGTTGTACTATTTTTAAACCACATGCATTTAGTTGGATATGCTGTATTTGTATTCAGATGGGTGTATTAACTTGGCATGAACCAGAAGTTAACAAAAAAATGGACCATGTGTAATTGTTTCGTTTCCTATGGACTTGAAAAAAAAAAACATAATTAATAGTGCATTAAATTTCCTTCTCGTATTTCAGCTCAAAATGAATCCGCATTCACATGATGTCAGGCTGCAAAAATGTCAAGTACCTACTTAAGTGAGATTTAGTTACTTAATCGCTCCCTTTGCTTTTCTTTTGAGTTTGACCTGCCATTTGTGTTCAGTTAGAAGGTATGTGTGTTGTCTTGTTACTGTGGGCACATGTTGAGATCTTGGAGTGTGCGTGTGTTATCTGTGATGGCGTAGCTTTGGGGATGTGTATTTTGCTGTGTGACCAGGCTCAGGCGAGCTTAGCCGGGGCTGGATTTTTACATGCTGCCCCGTCTGGCTACAGGCCTGCTCCATGTGTGAACGCCCAGAATGTGTAGATCAACCCCCCCCCCCCCCCCACCTTTCCCTCACTGCATGTTGTCTGAAAGCCAACACCCCCTTCCTCTTTCACCCGACTGAAGGAAGCTTCGTCTTATTGGCCTGGACTCAATGACTGACTGGTTATGTAGCCAATGACTAGAGATGCACAGTGGCTGCTGGGAATTCCATAGTAATGCACAGGCCAACCAATAGGACTGCTTGGAATGGAGAAGGGAAGTGGTGGGGTTTGGGGCATTAATATGTGTGACGTATAGGGGGGCTGGTGTGTGTGAAAGCCTGTTGGCTTCCTTTTACCCATGTTCAGTGTTCGCCTGCACGCCTCCTTAAGACCAGGAGTGGTCGAGGCGAAGAACCGTGACAAATTAGGTGTAAAACAGTGCTTTATTTGGAGAGGATATCATGTTTTTTTTAAAAGTTTAAGATTCCACAGCAGCTAAGTGTGCTTTTGAGGTAAAATCTTTGGTTGAGAGTCGAGACCCCCTCAAGATCCAAATCATTAAGAGGCAAACTGCTTGGTCAACATGAAATGGACAAAAATGAATGTTAGATCTTATTGTGAACACTATCCGTGTTGGTGTTATTAAAAAACAAGGTAGTTTTTTTTGTTGTTGTTGTTGTTGCAACTGGACATTCCAGTTGAAACTGACTTCTCTGTAGTGTGACGTATGCTGGATTTTTCCAATCATATATCCCATTTAGTCAACGTTAACCCACAACTGATGCATACAAAGTTACTTTTCTATTACGATAGTACATTAAATTTCAGTTTAACATCACGATATGAAAGATCTATTGTTACTTTTTCATTAACTGCAGTGACTATGTATATTGAAGAAAAATGTATGTAGTCATTTAAACTCCTTCATCCGTTCCAAACCTGTGACTTTCTTCTGAGCAACACAAAAAGCTAATGGCTCTTTTGTTTGCTTTTTTTCCAAAACTGAAGGAAAAAGTCATGCCGGTTTGGATCAGTGTGAGGCTGAGTAAATGGTTTTTGGGTCAACTGTTAACTTTAACCATTCAATATTTTTTTTTGTTCTACCTCCAGTTTCTTACACCAATAATCTCATTCTGAAGGTTTGTTGCTTGTCTACACCAACAGGTTTTGGACGGGTTGTTAGCCCAGTACGGCACAGTGGAGAGCTGTGAACAAGGTAGAATATGCTCTTCAGCAGATTGTCACTTAAGTAGTAATCTGCATATATAAACAATTAGCTAATTCTCTTCCTTCTTTCTATTCCATCTTCAGTCAACACTGACACGGAGACTGCTGTAGTCAATGTGCGATATGCCGCCAAGGACCAAGCCAGAGAGTGAGTATCATCTGCCTGGGATTCGGCCGACTCGGTCACCCCCCACCCCCTCGAGAGCGTCTCTGTCCCACATCTCGCAGTGAAATGTGAGACTGTCGGTTACACATGCACTGCTATTGGGATTTATTCAGCAATTATAATAACTCATTCAGTGCCACCTACTGTTTGATTAGTAGAACTGCAGAGCGGTCACAGGGGTTGGTGAAGAAGCCTCTGGTAAATGAATGGAAAGGCTTGGATAAAAGAATCTTCTGCAATTGTTTGCGCACAATAGGGAGTTCCTGTTACCATCTGCTAGTGGATGTCAATGAAAGATTTGGTGGCTTTAAAGGACTCTGGCATTACATGTCTAAGCCTTAAGCTAAACCGATGGGGAGTTGAAGAGCATACGTTTTACATGCGTCCTGTTTGAGAGGGAAGCTGAAAAGCAGAGATGGATTTCATGGCCTCAGATTTCAATGTCTCAGTCGCCAGGGCTATTCCCCGAAAATGGCCAATATTGAATAAAGAAAAAAGTTGTTTTGAAAAACGTTGGGCGTCATTCATGGAATGTTTTCATGAACTATTTTTGTATAAACCGTTGCATTGAATTGCGACATTGTACAAAAATTGTCTTGTATATTTAATAGATGTATTTATAAATGAGGCCCATTTTATTTTCTGCAATTGTTTATATCTGTACTATTTTAATTTGTTCCAAATCAGCAAGAGCCAATCTGTTTAAAGGGTATAGTTAAACCAAAAACTTATTTAGCATTTTCTAACGTGTTTATGCAATAATGCAATGCAGAATTTCATTCATTGACGCCCAGTTTTTTTTAAAATATCCCACACATAAAAGTGTGATGCGTGTATAAAAGTAGCTTTGTACATCCATCATTGCTTTGGTCCTTTCTCTGAAAAATAACAATTTTAATTGAATTAAATTAATTAAAATTATATTTTTTTAAATAAATAAAAAGATCTGTTCACGTTAGTAAGTTAATGTTGTTTCCCATTCCTCTGCGCTCACTTTTCCAGAGCATTGGACAAATTAAATGGCTTCCTTATGGAGAACTACGCACTAAAGGTTTCCTATATCCCAGATGAGACGGCTACAGCAGATACACCTGCCGTGGGCGGCAGGAGAGGTTTCAACTCACGCGGACCGCCTCGTCAAGACTCCCCCAATCTGGGCGCGAGACCTAAACTACAGTCAGATGTGCCTCTACGCATGTTGGTGCCCACCCAGTTTGTAGGAGCTATTATTGGCAAGGAAGGTGCTACCATCCGCAACATAACCAAGCAGACTCACTCAAAGTAAGAATACTCTGTAATCAGTCCCGTTTTACAATGCGCACAAGCACCACATATTATCATTACAACATTTACACTGGGCACTAAGCCTATTTGCTCTATATACCAGTTTAGCAAAATCTTTTGCAATATTGGATTTAATGAAGCAACAACATAAGCATAAACCATCACTGTTCAAAAGCAAGGTTTGAAGTTTGATCTGTGCAGATTATTATTATTCATAATTTTATTATTAGTTCATTTCACTGATCAAAATTGTATTTTCGATGATTGAAGAATTTGATGTATTTAATAATACAATTATAATTTGCGTTCCGAATTGATGTTTTTAAAAAGTTTGTATTAAAAATTATTAAATTTAGCCACTGCTTGATGGGCAGTTTTTATGTACAACTTAAGTGGTTAGAAGAAATATATTGGCCCAGTTTACCACCAGTTCTCAAATTCCCAGCTCTGTAGATAATGTAGATATGACTGTTTTCCGACCGTGGAAATGTACTTAGAATATCAATCAAACGTTTGGGGTTGGTAAGAATTTTTTTAACCGTATATTGTGATCATTAAGACTGAATTTATTTGATGATAAAATCTATAAAATCAATATCCAAGTCATATCTTTTCATGTCAATATATTTAAAAATATATTGACATGGCAAAACTGAATTTTCAGCAACTATTAGTCCAAACTTCAGTGCCACATGATCCTTCAGGGGCCTGTTTCAGAAAGGACGTTAAGTGAAAACTCTGAGTATGTTAACCCTGAAATGATGGAAACTCTGGGTTTTCCATTTCAGAAAGGGGGGTATATCAAACCCGAGAAAGCAGAGTAAGTCAAGCCCGTTTCTGAAAGAGAGGTAACTTATACTCGGAGTCAGTTACCATGGTAACTTACTCTGTGAACCTAACCTGGTCGGGAGCAGGTTTTCTTCAGTAAACCCAGGGTTTCTTGCGGTCTCCTCCCCTTTTTTAAAGAGAAAGTGCCGTTTAAACACCAACAATAATACTAAAATGTATTTACACATTCTTTAAGGAATATTGTTTGTCCATGGTTTAATTGACTAAATCTGTTTTGCAGCACTTTGCCAAAAAATAAAAGGATAAAAACATTTGCTAAACTTTTATTTGATTACCACCGTTTTTGATCATATATTTCTATTAAATCATTAAAAAAATTGGAATAAAAAACATTTAATAGAACTCAATTATTTTTCAAACATAATATAATAAGTTATTAATGATAAAAATAAGATGTTAATCTTATTCATAATCAGTTATTGAAGATTGTTGATTAGATATGTTTTATTGAACAAATGTTTATTTTATTTAACTGTCATTTTAACTGATGATAATAAGAACCATCATTTAATAATGCAGTTTAAATATATTTAATAATTTTTTAATACCGTAAACCGCGATAATTTCTGAGACGGTTATCATACTGTGAAACTCATACGTTACAACCCTACATGGGTGAATCCCCCACCCCACCCCCACTGTTAAACAAGTTTTAAATTGAAATCTTTTCTAACATTAAGAATGTCTGTCTTTAACCATCACCTTCTGTTTATATAATCCTTGCATTTGGGATGGGAACCCAGAGTTGGTCTGACTGCTCTAACATTGATAGTTGATAACATATTGTATGTGCACACAGGATTGATATCCATCGTAAGGAGAATGCAGGTGCTGCGGAGAAGCCCATCACTGTTCACTCCACTCCAGAGGGATGTAGTTCTGCCTGTCGAAACATCATGGAGATCATGCAGAAAGAGGCAATTGACACTAAAATGTGCGATGATACACAAATTCTGTCATACTGTTTCTGTTGATCCCTCTGTCATACCACACTGTCACACAAACTTCCCAGGCGGAAGGTGTGTCCCAATTGGCGTACTTTTGCGCTATTCTATGACGTTTTGTAGTATAAATAGTGCGAGTAGATTTTTACTGAAAATTCTCAAAAGTGCACTTTAAATCGCTGGATGATGCACTAAATTGACACAAAAATTGCAGCTTTAATGACATAGGGGAAGGGGAGGGGCTCAGACTCCAATGTTGAATGACAAAATATCCAAATGGAGTTCATAAAGTACATTGTGTATAGTGCATCATGTGGGACACAACTATAGTCATTTACACTTAATGTTGCACATTTAGTCACATTAAACCCATTATACCCTCCATATTCACAGCACTGAAGAAATCCCTCTTAAGATTCTGGCTCATAATAATTTTGTCGGCCGTCTGATTGGAAAGGAGGGGCGCAACTTGAAGAAAATTGAACAAGATACTGACACAAAGATCACAATCTCACCGTAAGTACTTTTTTTGGTGTGTGTTCTTTATACTTTGAAGTCAGCAATGTGTGTTTTGGTTTTTTTCATAACTGCTTGCTGGCTTATGTTTCCCAGCATGCACCATGACACCAATAAATAATATACACGGGGTTGAATCTTAATTCGTTACTATACATGCTTCCGAAGATGTCATTTGTTCCTCAGAGGTCATCGTTTTAAAACTTTGGCAACACACTCTGATTTACACTGTGACCCACTGAATATGCTTTTAACTTGTCTGGTAGGTTTATCAATGCTGCACAGTTCAGTTTTAATGTTTGGGTTTCATCCAGCATTACTAAATAATGTTGGATGCGTAATAATGAGGTCTGTTACTTCAAGTGGTAGTTTGACCTTCAAATGTGAGGGAATTTAGATTTTCCTTTTTTTTTTAATTATAATTATATATTACTCAATTATGCCTCTTTCTCACTTTTATTACTCATGTATGACTGGTTACCTCTTTTGGCACACATGTATAAGGTTTATGACTATGTCTATGCCACTTTATTATTTTTTTTGTCATCTAATGTGTGTTGTAGATGAATACTAAATGTATTTTTATTAATAGAGCTACTTCATGTTCCCTTTTCTCTTCCTTTCCATATCCTTCCAATCCCAGGCTGCAGGATCTGACCTTGTATAACCCAGAGCGCACCATTACTGTTAAGGGTACATTAGATGCTTGCTCAAAAGCAGAAGAAGAAGTCATGAAGAAAATCCGTGAGTCCTACGAGAATGACGTAGCCGCCATGCATGTAAGTCTGCAACGATGTCATTATGGATTCATTGTCATCTGAGATTGCATACAGCACAACAAAAATATATGCCCTTTTATTCCTCTAGCTACAATCTAACCTGATTCCAGGGCTCAATCTTAACGCGTTGGGTATTTTTCCCGGTGCAGCGGGTGGAGGGATGTCACCCTCTGTGGTATCAGGACCTCCGGCTGGGGCTCAAGCTGGCTATCAATCTTTTGGGGTAACACAATTAGATATAATTGAATGTGTGTGTGAGATGTATGTTTGGTGTACACTCATGAAGGTTGAGCGTGTTGATGTACGTTTTGTGTTGTCAAAAGTACTGATGTCGGTACTTAAATTTAAAAAATGTGACACTTTGAGCGCTGTTAAGCAGCTGACCCATCCACTGATAGACGCCTGCTTTCAAACTGTAGAAGCACTTGGTGAAAATTGTCATTTTGTATTTGCAACATGTTTTTAAAGTGCTGCCGCTGATCATTGTAGCCAATCACAGACATAGTTGATGAGCTTGTGAACACAATTGGTAATCAGAGGTGTTTACGATTCCGGTCAACAGTGCTCATAGCCTCACAATTTTTTAAATTTCAGTACCGACTTGGTTCTGAAGTCGGTAATTTGACAACCATTTACGTATTTAACGTCAATATGTACAGTTGGCGCCTACAGCCGTGGACAGAAGTTCTTTGTAGTTTCATAAATAGTTTCACTTAGTTTGCTGCTTTAGTTGTGGTGTTGATTCACATTGTTTCTAGATTATTGTGCAGAGTGATCATGTGCATTTTAAGGGGGGGAGGGGGGGTTTGATTGCGATTTTTCACTTTTTTGATTTTAAATAGTGTGTAATGTTGCTGTTGGTGCATGAACAGTATCTGCAAAGTTGCAGCACTGAAAGTTCAATGTAAGCGGAGATATCGTCTTTTAAAAATCAGGACGTTTACTGCCTACAAAAACGACTCTATTGGGACTACAGCTGGGTTTTTAGACGTCACTAACCCATACATTTACATCAACCACTCCCTCCGGAAAATGCAAAAAAGGGCATGGCCATATTTCTGCGACTCGTCGAAAGTGTGTTATGTTCACCCAGGTCTTCTGTGTTCAGGGTTCCCACGGACGCTGTAGTTCGTCAACAATGGATAAAATTTATGTTTGATTGTTCCTGAAAATGACGATCGTAGTTTAGCTTTCTGTGCAGCGCATTTTACGCAAGACAGCTTCCAGAATCTCCACGAATTCAATGCCGGATTCAACAAGAAACTGTTTCTAAAACATGAAGCAGTTCCAACTTTAAAACCAGAGGCAGCCGTTGTTGGGCCACAACCTGTAAGTAGGCTAAGACTTAATCATTTTAAATGTATTTGCATCTATAATTTCAGACGTATCCTTGTGTTTTAGTTTTATCAAATACCAGCGCTGGCTTTATAGCCACTAGGCTACTAGTTATGGTTTGGTAATGGCGTTAGTATCCGGACAACGTGAGCTACCGTTTAGCCAATCACAACACACTGGCCCAAACTAACCAATCTGAGCCCACTGCCTGTTTCTGAGGGAGTGGTTCAAAGGAGGGAGTGGTTCCAGTCGTTCGAAGGACAGAGGAAAAAGCGGCTTACAATAAAAGTGAAATTTAAAGTCCCCGTGAACCAGAAGTTGCAAACGACTTTTCTCCAGTGTTGTGACGTGTTTCCGAGAGAAACGGAATACTAAATGAGGCAAAATAGTGGGCGTGGCTTTTTTTCCAACTAGCACCTGATTGGATCTAGAAAAATGGGTGTTTCATTCTGAAATGGAGGATGACGCAAGTTTACACACGCTGTCAATCAATGCTCGCTCGGCGCTCGCAAACACACAGCAGCTGTCAGTTGGAGGGGCGTGGTTATGGATGTTAAGGAGACACCCAAACCGTAAAGCCTACGTCATCGGGCAAGGTCCTCCAATGCAGAGGGGAGGGGCATATTCAAAATTTGATTAAAGATTACGAAGCCAAAAATTTTTTTTTGTGTGGATTGTCTTACATGTATGAATTGTTCACCACAAAACGATCAATTTAGGCAAACAAAGTATGAATTGTTCACCACAAAACGATCAATTTAGGCAAACAAAGTATGAATTGTTCACAAAACGATCAATTTAGGCAAACATAGTAAGTATGGTCAATTTTGATTTCATAGGGACTTTAATAAGAAATAAGACTTTTTAAAAAAAAAAGAAAAACCACGAATACATGTTATATTGCACCCCATAAACACAATCATGCAAAAAAAAAAAAAAAACAGTAACCCACTCCTTTAAATAATTGCAAAAGGCCTCATTGGCCAAAAAAAATTAACTATCACAAATCCCAAATTTCATTATTTATTTTTTTTGGCACTGGCACAAAATGACCAGCTAACTTAATTTCACTAATATCATCAGTACATGGTGAAAGTGTAAACAAGTACTAGACAGCACCACCAGAGCTTTCTCAATGTTGGCAGCAGGTGGGTGTGAGTGCATCTGCACGCACAGTCAGGCCCAAGACTTTTGGACAATGGCTTGGTGTCAAGAAGGGCAAATGAGTCCCGTGTTGTGCCAACAGTGAAGCATCCTGAAACCTTCCATGGGTGGGGTTGCTTTTTCATCCAAGGAAGTATGCTCTCTCACAATTATGCCCAAACACACTGCCCCACACTGCCCCTGCCATGAGAAAAAAAATGGAATCAAAATTCTGGAATCAAACTTCTACCAAATTGCTTCTGGATCATTGGGAGAAGCAAATCCGTGCATTTTGCAGCATGTCTGAGCAAGAAGACAAGCGTGGTAATGAAGTGGCTCGAAGATCGTTACATAGACATTTTGTATCCATGTCAGGTTTTGGCCCAGAAGCTGGTTTACCCATCCATGCCAGAGTAAGTTGCAGAGGGAGGCTATGAATTGGTAAAATGGGCTGCATTTTTATAGCACTATCACAGACCCAATGGCCACCAAAGCGATTTACATATTGCCTCACATTCACCCATTCATTCACTCATTCATACACCAATGGAGGTGAAGGTGACAAACATTGCATAACAATTTATGCCACTGCCAATACTTTTGGTCACGGCTGTATAGTGTGTGCGGGAGTGTGCGTGTTAATGTGTATGTTTCTTCCTTAGTGCAGCATGTTTGGGAGTGAGGTGCCATTTTGGGCCTCTACGCCCTCCTCCAGCAGCAGTACAGCCTTTTCTGTAAGTTTTTATTTATTACCCACCATGCACTGCATGGCTTGGCTGCTCGCTACTGGATTTGCTGAAGGGACAAACGTCTGCTCCCTGATTAGTTGCTGCTCCGGGGACATCGCTCAGCCTCCACAGCTAACAGAAATGCTGAAAAACTGCGGGTCAGATTTTTAACACGTGATGTAGACCTAAAGTGCTTTGTGTGTGTTTGTGATGGTTGGGAATGAACGTTGTCAAGTTTGAAAGGGCATGAATAACATGGAGTTGGACTAACCCAAAAACTAGAATGAAATGCTCAGGTGTGTAATGTTGTGTCTATTTTGGCTTATTGGGGATTTATTTTTCACTCCTTGACTTTTCTGAGTAGTTATGTTGAATGTTTGCTCAGTCTACATTTGTATGGCTCAATTTTTTATTTTATTTTTTTTGACTGCTGTGCCTTTTTGATAAAACCATCTTCATATGTGAATTGAGTTTGCTCAAACAGTTTGGTTGCAGTTTTTTTGCATCCTACGAAGTTAAGACTGAATTTGGGACATCTGTTAAAATTGAATCATATAGCATAAAAATAACAGCATCCGTTAAATGGTTTTCTCACTATAACTTGGTGAGCACATTTCTGGTTGCTGATTCATATTCTGAAATCATCCTAAAGAGATATGAGCATTTCCGCAGCCTGATGTTGCTTTTGGTGTGGGATGGACAAGTTTGTGGTATGTTGTCCAAGCAGGGTGAAGTCAAAAGATCAAGTCTTCATTCCTCATGCTATGACCCCTTGATAGTTGACTACTTAATTGACCGTGTGAGTGAATGGTTTTCCTAGGACTTTGTTTGGCCTGATGTGTCTCGCATAACAGCAGGTTTATCGTGTTAAATATTTGATCATAACTCATGAGTGTATTTGTGTCAGCAGCCACAGATGGATTCAGAAACTGTGCACCTCTTCATTCCTGCCCTGGCAGTTGGTGCTATTATCGGCAAGCAGGGCCAGCACATTAAACAGCTCAGTCGCTTTGCTGGTGCGTCAATCAAAGTGAGTGACCGCAAGAATGAGTTGTGACCTTTTTTTTACCTTGTTTGTTAAACAGGATTATGAGTAGGATTTATTTTTGCCACGCTATTGCAGCAGTAAAGTTTACGGTCTGTCATTTTTGTCTTCAATAGATTGCACCTGCTGATGAAGTTGACGCCAAGCAAAGAATGGTCATTATTACTGGACCACCGGAGGCACAGTTCAAAGTAAAAATGCTTTGATGTTTTATGAATCAATTCATTGCATGAATATGCAGTCATTTGATTGTGTATTCATGCATTGATTCTCTCTCCTGTTTTTCTCAGGCTCAGGGACGTATTTTTGGGAAGTTAAAAGAGGAGAACTTTTTTGGACCGAAGGAGGAGGTTAAATTAGAGGCTCACATAAAAGTGCCATCATTCGCCGCTGGCAGAGTCATTGGCAAAGGAGGCAAAACGGTAAATGGCCACTTTTCTTTTATAAGTTTTCAATGCTCATGTTTGCTTTACAGATGCATTTATTCCTCATAAGGCTCAATCCTGGCATGCAGTGCCTAAAATTTAGAAAATCAAACCTTTTTTCAAAAGCAGTTTGTGCAAGCATAATAGGGAGATGTAAAACATTTTTTAAAAAGTGATTTGTCAAGTTCGGGTAAATTTAATGTCCAACGACTTCAATGTCACCATCACTAAGCTTCTGACATTTCTGACTGAGTTTTTATCTAAACTTTTTCCCAGAAAGTTTGAGTTAGAATAGTTTATAAGAGCACAATTATAAGCATAACGAGGCTATAAAAGAGCGACTGAGTTTCTGTTCATCGTGATGTTTAATGTCCCAGACAGTCTCTGTAGTTCCATTTAAGCCAAGTTCACACTACAGGATTTTATGCCCGATTTGCAAATCGTTGAGCTCGCCGACAGGTCAGGGTGTTATCGCGGGGGATTAGCGGACAATGAACGCTTGCCAATCTGTTAGTATGAAAGAGCCAACAACGCAGCGAAAACGCTCGCAGACGCGTCGCCGAGCCCAGAAAAATATCTAGCCTGCTAAGATATCCATAGCCGTCGCGTGACTCAACCTCAGTGATGTCATGAGTACAGCCAATCTTAGCAACGCATGGGTTGAGGACACCAGGTAAGTCTTAGTTTTTCTTTATTTTTTTGCATTTTTTTCTCAGAGTAAATCATCGCGCAAACAGTGTGCAGCACTAGTTTCTGTCTGAGGTCCATATTCGTGTGTTGTGTTCTCTTCTTCACTGGGTATAGGCACACGTGCTGTTTCGCGTCATTTCTGATTCGTTTTATTGTGTTTTTTGGTGACCAAACGTGGTTTGTAGACAAGATGGAATCGTTGGGTGACAGAATCGTTGTCAACTCGTTATTTATTTAATTATTTTCAGGATTTAGACCGTACCATAGTACTGAAACAGCTCTCATTAGAGTCAAATGATTTGCTCTTATCCGATCGTGGTTGTATCTCTATGTAGTGCGTTGTCAACTCGTGTAGTGAGTTATCTCCTGTTGTGGATCAATCACGTTGTGTGGTGTGAACAGCTAAACAACTTGAACACTCCTGATTTCACTGAGAGCAAGTCATGAAGTGTGAACCGCACAGTTCAGCCCGACGTTTTAAAATCATGTAGTGTGAACAAGGCATTAGCCACTTGTTAACCACCTTTTTCAAGACATGTAACAGCTTAAAAAAAGTTAACACTTTACAATAAAGTTCATTAGGTAACATTAATACATTTACTGATAAATAACTAACAATGAGCAATACATTTGTTAACTGTCTTGGTTAATATTTGAAGAGTTCAGATGCAAAAGCCTCTAAGTGCCATTTGAAATTTTCTTCTAGAATGATAATTTTTATCAAGCTTGTATATTTAAGTTCAGTGATTTCACTTAAATGACAATGATAATTACCTATTAATTGTTATTTAAGTGAAATTACTGAACTTAAATATACAAGTTTGATAATCATCATTAAAGAAGAAAATTTCAAATGGCATTTAGAGGCTTTTGCATCTGAACTCTTCATTTGTTAATGTTAGTTAATGGAAATCTAGCTGTTCATTGATTGTTCATGTTAGTTCAGTGCATTAACTAATGTTAACAAATACAACCTTTGATTTTAATAATGCATTAGTAAATGTTGAAATTCACATTAACAGAGATGAATAAATGCTGTAGAAGTTGTTCATTCTTAGTTCATGTTAACGAAGGTAGTTAATAAATGAACCTTATTGTAAAGTCTTACCAAATAATACAATCACGAGGAGGGTTACTGATGTGTTTTGTGGTAGAATAATACATGAAAGTATCTTGAGCTTGTTACCACAGACCTTTTATCAGCCATCTAACCAAAATTGGAATCGGAAGTGCAAAAATGCTGGCTTGTTTTGGCCTATAAATTTACGTCATACCTGCACCCACTATATAATGCTGTGTCTTTACAGCTCGTGCCTCGTGTATGCAATCAAAGCCAAACAGATGCAGTTTTTGTATGCAATCAAAACAAACAGATGCAATCTCTATTGTGGTCATGCTCACGTGACATTGCAGTTTGTCATCATGGAAGCTTGAGTCTTAAAGCCATATCACTTCATACCATCTTCTGATTTATGGTTTTCTGAGCCCACACATACGACGATGGATGTCAGACGGTGCGTTTTTGACAATCTTTTGTGAATGAATTCACACATTCGGTTATGTACATAAACGGCAGGGAAAGAAATCGCATGTGATTTTTAATAATAATAAAGTGAAAGCAGCGTAATATACAATAGACCTTATTCAGAGCAGCGCCATGACCGGTATGAAAGTGAGGCTGTGAGGGATAGACTTACCGTGTTTCCAATGGCATCCGCTGTAAAAAGCTGAATAAAGTGGCTAAACTACTTACAATTTTCCACAGCTTACATTGTCGGGAGTTTTTTTTGTCAACTGACATTTCTTTGAAAGATATTTTTCCAGTGTTTCATGAGCAGAACAATCCGAAAACACATTAAATGACAGTACAGCCCATTGAAGAGACGCAAGTCTTATCCCTCACAGCCTCGCTTTCATTCTCATTAAAAACCAAAGATGGGCTGCCGTGAATAAGGCGTATACCTACTGATGTTAATATGAATCATACAACAAAAGAAAAAACAATCAGTCACTGCTCTCTAATGATAAACTTTAGTAGCTTCAATAAGAATTAATTTCTTTCAATCAACAAAAGACTTTGTCAAAGGCTGTAGATATACGAAGATGGTGCACTCCTATTACATGAATGGGAGAAACTGCAGTGCACAATATGGAAGTATGAATTTAGTTGTAGGAAATTACTAGTCATCCAATTTTTTTATATCAGCTATAATTTTGTGAATTGGTAAGTTTCGTTATGTTTTGAAGAAATTTAGAGCTGAGTATCATCAGCAAAACAGTGTAAGCTAATTCCATGTTTCCTAATGATATCTCCTAATGGTAGCATGTACAGAGTGAACAGCAGCAATCCTAGTAATGAGCCTTGTGGTACGCCATACTGAACTTGAGATCGATAAGACATTTCTTCATTTATGGCTACAAACTGATAATGGTCAGATAAGTATGATTTAAATCATGCTAATGCAATTCCTCTAATGCCAACATGTTTCCAGTCTATTTAAAAGAATGTTGTGGTCAGTGGTATCAAATGCAGCACTAATATCAAGTAACACTAATAGCGAGAGACAACCACAATCGGATGATAAGAGCAAATCATTTGTGACTAATGAGAGTGGTGTCAGTACTATGGTACGGTCTAAATCCTGACTGAAAATCCTCACAGATATCATTTATTTCAAGAAAGGAACATACTGAGGGTAAAAGGCAGATTTGAGATCGGCCTGTAATTGATTAAGTCTGTAGGATCAAGTTGCTTTTTTTTTAAGCGGATTTATCATAGCCAACTTTTAAAGGTTTTTAGGACCTATTCAAGAGACAAAGATAAATTGAGGATATTGAGAAGAGGATCTATGACCTCTGGAAGCATCTCTTTCAGAAGCTTAGTTGATATTGGGTCTAACAAGTTGTTGATTTAGATGATTTAAAGGGTCATATTGCATTTCTGTTAATAGACGCTCAATTTTTACACATTGCACCTTTAATGAGTTTGCAAAATTCTTCCTCTCCTATAACAAATGAACCAATTTTTATTTTTTTTCCCAAATCAGGTCTTCTTATTTAACAGGTTTGAGGCTAACAGAGTGCAAATTCTGACCTAAAAATCAGACTCAACTATGTTAGCTTCTTTTTGCTCAGACCAGGTGTAAACAAAAAAAAGGAATGTAATTAACTTTACAAATGTAATTTTAGAAATAATGTTTCTCTCAAACTTTTTAATATTTCTCTCTATGGAGTGGATGTATTGATAATAATGGAAAACTCAATGGAAAAACTGCACATAATGTGAAGTTACATTTATTATCGTAATAAAATGTTCATAATGTAGTAATTTCCTTTTAATCTTTATACATTTTTAACATTGAGAAGTTGATTACATTATAAACATTTTCACAATTGTAAAAGCTTGTTAGTATTCCTTTACAGAATATTTTTAAAAAATCAAAATCCAGTCTTAACCATGCTTAAGTCCACCATATTACTAAAAATACTATTACTAGTTGGTGAATAAGTTCAGATTTTATTTATTTTACATCACAAAACCAAACAGATTTAGCAAGGGTGTGTGGACTTTTTACAACCAGTGTACTTGATTGTAAGTTGTACTGTATTTACATGTACACTGTTTTCTTAACATGCAAATGATGTGATCCATCACATCCCTCATTATTACTATATTGATACTATATTGAGTTTTTTTATATATTTTTTTAATAGTTTCTATATTGGTATATTACTGTTTGTCATTTTAACAGTATGTATAGCTTATGTATAGTAGTAATAATAGTATCAGTAATCTGGTGGATTTCGTTTGCAAGTTAAGACTGGATTTAGATTTTTAAAATGTACTGTAAATGAATGCTTTGTTTAATAAAAACGTAATAATCATAAAATTTAAATGTTCCATTTTGCAGGTAGATTAAAGGGATACTCCACTTTTTTTGGAAATAGGCTTATTTTACCACTCCCCCAGAGTTAAACAGTTGGGTTTTACCATTTTCGAATGTATTCAGATGATTATTATTTTTTTGATATTTAGAAGAATATCAGTAACCAGACAGTTTCTTGTCCAATTGACTTCCATAGTATATTTTTTTCCTACTATGGAATTCAATGAGACCAGAAACTCTCTGGTCACTGATATTATTCTAAATAACAGAAAATCGGAAGTATGGATTTGAAAACAGTAAAACGCAACTGTTTAACTCTGAGGGAGTGGTGAAATGAGCCTATTTCCAAAAAAAGTGGCGTATCCCTTTAAAACTGGATTTAGATGTATTTATGTACTGTAAGGTTACTAATATTTGTTTCAAAAGATATTACAATAATCACAACGTTTTCGGTGAGTTTATAATGTAATACTTTTCTTCTCACAGTAAAAATTATTACATTTTGGGACGTATTACATTAAGAACATTTTATTACAATCATAATGTAATAAGCATTACATTATGATTGTAATAAAATGTTCTTAATGTAATACTTTTCTTCTCGCAGTAAAAATTATTACATTTTGGGACGCATTACATTTAAGAACATTTTATTACAATCATAATGTAATGCTTATTACATTATGTGCAGTTCTTACATTGTGAGTTGCTAGAAGCTTGATATTGAATTTCAAAGATAAAATTTGTAAAAGAAATAAATAAAACAACCTCTATAAAAAAAATAGATGGTAAGAAGGTAGTCAAAGGTAAGAGTTGACAATAAATTAAGGAAATAAAAAAAACGTTTATTATAATTGTTCAAATTAATTTAATTAAACTACATTTGTAAGGCCTGGCACGATCGATCCAATGGCGACAATTCGATCCGCGGGTCTTTTCTCGTGGCAAAGTATTTTGTATTAAATGAAAAAATACATTTGTATTAAATGAAAAAATACATTTTTCATATGTATTCTCATTCTTTTATCTTACTCCATAAAATGAAAATGTTTTTGATATGTGTGCATTAAATATTCAAGCGAAAGTTTGACTAATTCCCATTAATTCTAATGAAATATCAAAGTCAGTTAGAATCATCAAATGTAACAATTTATTATGTCGGGTAAAAATTTATCACTCCAATTTCATAATCATTTAAAGATAATCAATACAAAACATAAAATACTCTGGAATAAAGAGAGGACGAACCCGACGTTAGGAAATACATGAAGCTGAGAGATCGGCCTCTTTGCCTCACGGTTCATCTGAAAAACAGAAAAGGCCCTGATCCTTCAGCTGCATTTCATTATATAGCTAGACCTAATTTCATATGTGAACATCAGACTTGATGAGGACAGACCATTTGCTAACAGTGGGAATTGGCATTTAAACATCCACCCTCCTTCGTGTGTGTTCTCTCTAAACTCTAAAAACCTTGTTACCTTTCGTTTTACTTATTTTGAAACAAGACCTTTATATCAGTTGCACTGAGACATTTCAAATAATACTAAATGCATGTATAAAACTGTATGATAGTTGTTCAGATTACAACCATATAGATTCTTGTGAGTTTGGGTGATCTCTGCAAGAGTGGGGGATGTGTGTGTTGAGTTCAAATGTTAATTTGCTGCAAGGTCCTTTGTCTCATAGACCAGTGGTCAGGTCTATCTCCTTAACCAGTTTTTCCCAGTCTTACACATTAGACAGAATCAATACTGATATACCCAACAACAACGTAAAAAATAAAAATATTATGTAGTAGGCCTATGTATTTATGGAAATGGGGTATGCAAACCTAGGGACATGAAAAATGGTGCACTATGGTGGTTCAAAATTCTGTAAAATGTCTATAAAACAATTATCTACGAGTTCAAATGGTGTTATAAGTCGACAGCTTTGATATTGTTCAGTATTATAAGATTGCAAGGTCATAATCTTTACTGGTGACACCAATGACCAAGCTGCTCTGTTTGTCTTTAGGTGAATGAACTACAGAACTTGACCAGTGCGGAGGTGGTTGTCCCGCGGGACCAGACGCCTGATGAAAATGACCAAGTAGTAGTAAAAATCACAGGCCACTTCTATGCAAGCCAGGTGATTGAGCTACCAGACATGCTAGAGCTGAATAATGGTTGAAATGGGAAATTTTCTGGTGGCAAAATACTTTCTCTGATCCCAGTAAATGTGAATATATTGTATTTACTTTTAGGTATTTAAATACTTGTCACGTTTGATCAATTCTTAATTTTTAATGATTCATTGAGCCACACACCACTTTATCCAGTATCATCCAGCCTTTTTTATTTCTTGCTCAAGATTGTTATTTTGCACTTTGATTTTGAGTGTTTTTTTTTTCCGTTTTCTTTCACGGCTCTCAGCTGGCTCAGCGGAAGATCCAGGAGATCATCTCTCAGGTGAGGCGGCAGCAGCAGCCCAAGGCCTCGGCCACAGGTCCACCAGTCACCCGGAGGAAATAGAGCCACCGCGTCTTCTCGGAGACTGACAGGACACGGGACACGTCCATCTCAGGGGTCAGGGAATGTCCTTACAACCCCATTCGCTTTTACACCCATTCCTCCTGAAGTTTCATTGAGATTGTGTACACCTTCCCTCCCCTCACAATTTCTTTGAATATAGGAAAATCAGCCACCCAGTCCCTGCCTTAATACGATAAATGCACAGTCCTTAATTGACAGACGTTAAACGTAGTTTTTGATATTTGAGTTCATTGGGAAATGCAGCATTTGAGTGTAAAAGGCGTTTTGAGCCTGTTTTTTTGGGGTGCGGAATGGGTGACACGGGGTGGGGTTTAAGGTCTTCGGCTTGAGATGGATAGAGGATTGTTGAAGGAAGTATGTTGTCCTGTGATCCATAGTGGCATTTTATAAATTCTGATGCATTTTATAGATCTATATATATACATATGTAAAATTATGAAAGAAGGTGGAGCAACACTGCCACTTATGACTGAGGGAAGTGTTGATTGGTGTTGGCCAGGAAACCAAGTTAATATGCATTTTACTGATCTACCTCAGGCTAGAGTACCTCAGAAAAAAAGAAAATGATATATGAAAAAAAATGTTCTGTTTTTTTTTATTTTGCTTTGTGGTATTTTGTATACTTTATAAAGCTAATAGTTCTTGAACATTTTTTATTTTTTTAAGAAAATGTAAAATTTAGTCTGTAGTGAACGGATGCATCCCGAACTCCGCCTTGCTCCGTTTGCAGCGTGCGTGAAATGAATAACTGTATATAAGTTTGCGCACGTCTGGTGTGTAAAAGAGCGGAGTTTGGGCTTCTATGTTGGCTACAGATAGGAGAAAGAAAAGAAAAGCGCCTCAGTGTCGCTGAGGAGCCACCACCCTCTGAACACCGTCAAAGTAATGAGAAATAACGCCATCCGTACATACTGCAGAAATGTCATGCTAATATGCTAATACCTGTTTTGGCATTTCACCCGCAATTCATTACACTTCAGTAAGGGTTGGATGCAAGCAATAGAGGTCAGGGATAATCAAGGTCCTGCTGTAACCTCTTTGACACCCCCTCATCCTCAACGCGACTAGTTGTCTATCATAATAAAAAAAAGAACGACCAGCCCGATTGAGGTTGTTTTTTTCTTTTTTTTCCCGTGCTCATATTTTTTCTCCCTCCCCCCTCCAAATAATGCGCTCCGTTTGGTTTTGGGACTGCTTTTTGCATCAAACTGGGCTTTACGTGCCGAAGATTTTCAGTGTTTAACGTCAGTCAATGCATGTCGGGTTTGGGAAGTTTCACTGTTCGGATGCTTTTGCGTTGGTAGCTATTAGGTTACAATAGTCTGGGGCGCGTTTCTCTAGGCTAACGAGCTATGACGTAGAGATGAACGCGCAAACGGTTTCATTTATATCTTTCGTTTATCATACAAAGTGAAAAAGCAAAAAAATATATAAAATGAACATTAGCAAAGAAACTAAACGTTTAGTAAATAAGTGAAAAAACAATATTCCTTTGTTTTCATGCAGAATGTAAATATGATTTGATTGTGGTAAAAGAGTGCATCAATGCTTCCACACTAGTTAGACCATTGTCTACCTCAGCTGAGGAAAGGGTGTTTGGCGGGAATCCTTCCATCTCACCCGAGGCCTCCAGCGCGCGCAGCGATACCTCGAGTCCCTCGCGAACACTTCCGCACTGGGTATGCGCGTGGCGCCGAGCGCTGACCAGAGGGGCACAAGTGATCGTATTGTTTTTCTTTCCACACTTCTCTTACACCGTTTGTTGATCTACCTCTTGTTAGAAAAGTATTTAAATTAGAGGCATATTGCTATTTGTTAGAATCTATAGGGTCATATCCCATTTGTCCCTTTCCTCACAGAAAAAAATATATAATTTAAAAAAAAAAAATCATGTATGGCTAGGCTTTAAAGATGACTAAGACAATTTTCATTTTTGCCTGCAATTTATCCTCTGCTAACTGATTTGAAACCTCACCTAATTGCTTTTTTCCCCCTCGTTTTTCTTTCCGCTGCTTGGTTTGGTGGTGTGGCTTCCTTGTATTGGGCTTTATTTCTTGCATAGGTATTGTATTAAAGGTCAAAGTGTTTAATTTGGAAACTGATTAATAATGGCTACAGAATTTTTTAAGGGCCTGCTTCATTTCTTGCTTATGAAATATGAACAATGGAGTCTTTATTTTTTACCTTTTTCATGTCTTATGGATGCTACAGGTTTTTTCTTTTCTTTTTTTCTTTTTGTTTTTGACTGATCTGATCAAATTTCATTTCATGGCTGTGTTGTGTGGTGAATCATGTTTCAGTGGGAATGTGATATGGAATTCCGGGATCTGGAATAGTTCCCGGAAAAAAAAATGTGGTCCGATTTCAGCATAAGCAACATCCCCTCCGACCGTGCTTGTGCGCCCTCACACACCTCCACTTATCAAATGCCTCTGATACAAAGAAAATAAAAGTCAAGTTGGCTCCTAGCAACCATCGTTTGTGATTCCTTTGCTGTTCTGTGTCCATATTTGTTGCCTTATTTTAGTGCTTTTTGGTGTTCATTTCAGTTAAAATGCTGATTTTCAAAATGGGTTATCAATGTATAAAAATGACAGCTGTTCAATAGCAGATAGTGGTTTAGAAAGTTTATTAGAATATATTTGTATATACAGCACTTACAGGAGTGGTTCATTTCTATAATCATGAATGATTAGCTAATTATATTTTCCAGAAGTGCTGTCAAATTAATTTAAATACCCAACTTGCATGTATGTGATCAATGCAAATTTCCCAAATTCATGTGTTATAAGTAATTGTTAGTATGAAATAACAGCTTAATTACCATCAACTGAAAGACATCGGTCTTTCCCCAAAAAAGAGTCCCAAATTCACTCCCCAAACATTCACAATGAATCTAATATCTCTTGAATATTTTCAGAACATAGCCCAACCCTTCTCACTCAACTTTCTCATCCTTTCTGCACATTAAGAAACATTTCATATATGAACATGTCAACTCAAACTCCACGAAGCTTCACTCAAAATTGCGGTAATTTTCAGCTTCAAGTCCTAGTTCATATTTTAGTGATTCTGGTTTGGGTAAACCAAATATTTTCTGTGATATGTCAGATAGTTTTAGTCATTTTAGATGATTACTTGAGATTTGTAAAACCCTGTAGATTCATCCCATATCTCCCATTCAAAATCTTTAAAGCTTGTATGTGCGGTAACTAAAATGCTTTGATTGTTTATTCTATCTTAACTGAAGATGCCAGAGTAATTTAATCTATCTGAAAACACTCGTCTACGAGATCACTTTAGATGGACTACAGCTTGAGTGATGTATTGAATAAATAGCAGCTGCGACGACTCGAATCAGTCTATTGTGGCCTTTCTGTCAATAAATGACTCCTCTCCTCGTCGGCAGGGAACAGAGCGGCTCTTAGTCTTCTTAAACTCCAGCTACCAGCATTTCTCTCAGCATCCTCCAGCATGGAGCGTCTCACTGGACGATACACCTTATATCGCCTGAAAGGAATAGAAAAAAATGAAGGGATTAAGATGCAGATTGATTTTAAAACACCAGTTTGGTTAGTGGTACTCACTTGTACACCATGATGGCAATGAATGCAAAGATGGAAATAAGCACAGCGCTGGAAGACAGAACCACCTCAGCAACGTGGGAGGATTTAGGAGTCTCTAAGAGGATGGATGAAACATTTAAATATTCTTAAATATTTTATTTATAAGTCTGTACATTTCTAAATCTGTATATATGTTTGACTTAAAGTGAAATATTTGTGAGGACCCAAACAGAAAAAGTTTAATTTAGAGACTTGACATCCATTTAGGGGAAAAAAGCAACTGCTGGTTAACATTAAAGTCAGTCACTATATTATTATACTGCTGTCTGACAGAAAATATGTAAATGATCAGCTATATATTTTATATAATATTAGAATACAGTGGCACGGATTCGTAGTCATCTAGCAACACTAGACTTTTTTTGAGCAGGCTTTAGCTACTTTCCATTGGAAATAGTTGGCAACCCTAAACTAAAATTGTATTTAAAAAGCTGAAAAAAATAAATAAATATATTTTAGATAAAACTTAAACTTATTTTATTTCAGTTAGTTGTCAATACAAATTTTCTAATTTTCATTTAAGTACTAAAATGACTAAAATCTAAATATATTTTTTGAAACTAATAAAAATGGCAAAAGCACATAATAAAATACATGTAAAATTATACAAAAAAGCTCATTCAGAATATTAAATATTATAATATCATATAAATAATACTAAAATAACTTTGTAACAATATGTATTATAAAAATTGGTAACATGGTCCCTTTTGAACATTCTATTGACAAGAAGTAACTTTGCAACATGCATGTGAACTTATTCTAACCCTACCAGTCTACTAATACTTTACTAATGTGAGTTAGTAGACATATAGGTGCAACATTACTTATAGTCAACAGAAAGGGTGTAAAAATAAAGTGAAACCGGAGAATATATAAAAATAAATTGAAAAAAAAACCTACATACAAACTTACTCTTGTCAGGGCTGTTGCCAATTGTGACTGAAGTGGTGGTGGCAAGAGCCAAGCCTCCAGGCACACCCAGCGTGATGTTGACACAGTAAGTGCCCGGCGTTTGGAAAATGCGTGTCAAACTGATCTTGCAGCCCTCGCCGTTAGGGGCCACGTCCTCACACAAGATATTCTTGACCTCCCGACAGGCGGAGTTGGCCACTATGGTGCAGGCCACTGAGGGAACACTGACAACAGTGGGATGACGCTCAATTATATTGGTTGTGATCCACACGTCAATGTTTGTGACATATGACAGTGACGTGCTGTGAAATGTCTCAGCTGGAGGGCCTCAAATGCTCACTGCAGATAAGAATCAACTACATCTAAAAATGCTCTTCACTTTCTGTCTTCTCATGTGAAGCACACAATCTCATGTCTGCTTATATATATATGCTGTTTGTCTAAATCTTACCTGCCTGAGCATGTCACCATGAAGTTTACTGATGTGTTGGAAATTTTGTCAGCTGACACTTTTAAAATCTGATTAGCTGGCAGATTCCGAAGAGCTGGAGGAGGTTCTGTAGAAACAGACATAAAAAAAAAATAATTATAAAAAACAATAATGCATTATTTATAATAAGCCCAAAAAAACCTGTGTTGTTTTAGAATCATTGATGTATTAATATATTTTTTGTAATATCTTTTTTCTTTTTAGTGAACTGGCTGAACCAGTCCATCAAATTGGACTGAACCGTCTGAAACAGTTTGCGGCTCACATCAGCACAGAACTACCTGTTACTCAATATGGATTTAGAAAATATCAACCAAAAAAAAAAAAAAAAACTAATAATTTGCGTAAATCTGTAATGGAAAAGTGGCTAATAACACTCGAAACTAGAGGTCGACCGATATTGGATTTTACCGATAACGATAGCTAGGTTGGGCTGTACTTGCCGATAACCGATTAATCAACCGATAGTTTTTAAAATTGATACTGGATAAAAACAAGCATAACACTCCAAGTAAAACAGTGCTGAACTTTATTATAAAAATACAAAAAACTGGCATAAAAGGCATTCTTTCAAACAAACAAAAAATAATATTTTTAAATAACAAATTAAACATTCCAAATGTAACTGTTTAACTGTTCTTTTTCAAGCCAACCTAATGAATAAAAAAGATGTTTCAAATAATAACAAAATTTGCCATCTGAAAATAATTTAAACATTAAAATATGTTAAATGTGTGTTTCTTTAGCTATAACATGTTGCAAGTCCAATTTGTTAACAAAGATTTATTAGCTAGTTTACATGAACTATGTGCATTATGCAATATAAATGTTTACAGCATTAATATTTGAGCAATACAATTTCACCTTGATCATTCATGTTAGTTCATAGAGTTTTAACTATGGTTAACAAATAAAAACCTTAATTTAAAAATGTAGTATGTTAATTAACAAACAATGAACAGCAGTTATTAACCTTAGTTAATGTTATTAATGTGTTAACCAGCGACTGGCAAGTTCGGGGCTTTATGTCAGTGGTTCAGGGGTCTCCACTATGCGCTATGTCTATTATTGGTCCAACCTAATAAAAACGCCAACGGTCCGTGAAGCATAGCCTATATGAGTTGCGTATTTTAGTTCCACCTTCACTTTGTTTGTATTCGCTGCTAGGTAACGTGTCGATAGATCGCTTATTGCTCAGACGCACATCAGGTTGTGATATTTGTCTCCGTCTCACTCCGTCTCTCATGTTCCCACAGACGTTTAATCACGCTATTCTTGTCACGGATTCATTGACGCGTCCCTTCCACGCTTTACCATGCGTTTAACGTGTGGCAAATTTACCGGTCGCACATGTGCGACTGGATGTATTCAGTAGCACACTCTCAAATTTTGGTCGCAAAATGCGACTATTTGGTCGCAGTCTGGAGCCCTGTATTTTATAGAACTTAAAGAATATTTAATAAAAATAAATATGTATTAAAGTGATGGTGAAAAAAGAACCGAAATCGAATGCTTCTCTGATTCGTTTGTTTTTGTCGGCTGTATGATATATCAGTTTGCTATCATACGTCTCTAGCTTATATGCAACGTCGCTGCATAATGAATGCATCAAAGTGACCAGCTGGATATAAACTAATGCAAATAGATGGTAACAATTTGTGACATTAAACATTCGGGTCGGACTTAGGTGTATTTTTGTGTCAGTGTTTTAACCGCTTGAGGTACTACTAATGTGCGTCTTCTCAGCCACTCTCCAAGGCAAACAAACATACTGTTGTGCGGTCCTTTCTCTACTAATGCAGCATTTAGTCAACAAATTCATCCGTTTATAATGATATGACAAAATTCCCTGTACCTTTTCGCTGTCCGTGCTTTAGCACGCGCATCAGATGTCAGCGATCTCCGCTCTCCACACAGCGCGCGATCTCAGTGCAGCGCGCAGTGTCACGTGTCGAAATAAACAACACGAGGCATCAGTTGATAGTTTTTATGACACCTCTAGAGGCCGCTCTTGTACTGCATGATGCCAGCAGACCCTTCTCAGCTCTCTCGTACTGTGTAATGAATGACAGCGCGCACTTCTCAGCCGCCCCAGCAACGGACGAAACCAGGAAATAACTATCGTGCGGATTTTTGCCGATAAACGATAGTTCCAACAATCAACTATCGGTGCCGATTAATCGGCAAATCCGATGAATCGGTCGACCTCTACTCAAAACTGTCCTGTTACTATAGCTAACTTTACAAATTAGGTCTAATATTATGCCTTTTCTAATATTAACACAGGTCCTAAAGCTGTTGCCTGATCATAACCTTTATTTTTTCTAGTGATATTCCCCTGAGCTTTTCTCTTTTGTAATGTCTCTCATCCATCTCTCTTTCTAAAGTCTTTCTTCAAATCCTTTTCTTGCTCACTCTCTCTCCTCCCCCATCATGAGTGGACACGCCCCCTACTGCTGATTGGCTTGGCTACAAGTTTGTTGTGTTACTTTCAAAAGCATTTCTCAGAAATTGCTTACTGCACCTTTAAAGTAAATGAAAATGAGAAAAGTAGCTTTTTGTATTTAATTTTATTTCAGTTATTGTTTATTTTTTTATAAGCAATTATTTTTGAATGGTTTTAGTTTTCGTTAACGATAACCCTGATACATACCAAAAAAAAAAAAAAAAAAAAAGATTTGTGTTTCTTGTAAATGCTTGCTGTGGTCTGGTAATCTTCTTACCAATGATGAATATCTCGCCTTCAAATGAACCATACATGTGGCGGAAACAGTCTGACTCCATGAAGTGTGTGTGTTTGATCATCGGTGGAGGTGTGGGCTGCTTATAGGTTGAGCTGGCCTCAGGTACAGCAGTTGCTGTAATGGATGTCACCTCTGAATCAGTTTGGAATGGTTCGGTTGTTGGGACAGCAGTAGTAGGAACGCGACGGGTGGTACTTGGTGAAGGATTGGTGATAATAGGAGCTAGAGAATAGTTAAAAAGTATTAAATACATTGTACAACCTCAAATCCAGAAAATGTGGGGCATTCTATAAAATGCAATACAATGGGCTTTATGCACAGCTGCACTACTTCCTGAACTTCAGCCAGTTTCCTGTCTGCCATTATTGGCCAAATTGATTAATTCAGGTGTGCTTGTCCTCAGTAGTCAAGGCAACAATAATCAGACACACCTGAATTAATCAAGTTTGGCCAATAATGGCAGGCAGGAAACAAGGAGCTGGCTGAAGTTCAGGAAGTAGTGCAGCTGTGCATATAGCCTATTAAGAATCAAGAAACTCTTTCTCCGCTTTATTTAACTGACAAAAGGACAACTTAATTGTATTTTGTAAATTTAAACAAATGTTGATTTTGGTGACTGCAACACCAACAAAGTTGGGACAGAGGATTAATTACAACTGTTAATTACACTTTTTTTAAAAAAAGTTGGGGAATTGAGGATACTAATTGTTTAAGTTTTGCAAGTTGAATTTTGGCCTAATCTCGCCTGATATAAGACATCTGCTCAACAGTCGGTGGTCGTCGTTGTCTGATTCTGCTTTGATGACAGGCCACACATTTTCAATAAGAGACTGATCTGGACTGCAGTCAAGCACATCCACTCTGGTGTAAAGTGTCTACAAAACCACAGTTGTAGCACATGCTGAATCAGGCCTGGCATTGTCTTGCTTCCCAGGAAAGATGTCATCTTGATGGCAGTTTATGTCTCTGTACAATTCCAATGTACGCCTCCATGTCAATGTACCTGCATAACATAATTTCTCATGCAGTGCCGCATGAGGGCTCAAAGGTCACTCACATTTAACAGAGGTTTCCTGCTTTGCCCATCTTTGCTTGCAAACATGAATGATACCCTCACCTATTACCAATTCACCTGCTCATTGTGGACTGTGCAAAAATCAGCTTTGGATATTATATAATCTTTTTTTTTGTTTTGCCACTGTCCCAAACTTTTTTTTGTAGCAGCCATCAAAATAGTTACAAAATAAAATTAAGTTGATCAGTGAAAACATTGGAAATCTTTTATACTTCTGTCAGTTGATAATGAAAGAGATTTAACAAATCACAGATTTTTGATTTGATTGCATTTTACAAAAGGTCCCAATTTGGGGTTGTAGAAAATGTCCTTTTTAAGTTCTGTTTGTAGTCATTCATATTAGAAATTTGTTGCTTCAAATACAACTTGTCTTACCCTTGGTGGTCTCTATTTTGCTAGTGAATGTATGAGTGCCAGGAGGTAGAGTAGGCATTTCTGAAACAAAACACATCAATGTTTTGTCCTGATTTTAATGGATAATAATGAATATTATGTCTGGCTTAGATAAGAGGATATCTGTTGTCTAGGAGCGTAAAGTGCCTGTGTTGATGAGATTACCTGGGGTATGAGCCTGTGTGAAGTGCATTGGTGTTGGAGTCGGTGGTGGGCAGGGTACACGGAATGATGCCTCCACTAGGAGCTTGACTGTAACATTTCCAAGCTTGTTATACGCATGCGTTGCCACATTGCTGTGGGTGACCAACTGGTTGCCATCCCGAAAGTCCCAAATGAAGTCCACCGCATCAGCTGTCTTCAGATATTTACTTGGGTCGTGGACTTGGACGTTGAAAATCACATCAGACCCCCTGACAAACATGCTTTTGTCAGTTATGTTGGCTGCTTCTTTCTGGGAAATGTTCACTGAGAGTGGAATCTTATCTGGATGAAAAAAATACCTTGGTTAATCTATCAATAAAAGTTGAAGGGGTTTTAGGCTTAAAAAAAAAATATATATATATATATATATACAGTGTATATATATTTATATTTATGTATATATATATATATATTTATATTTATGTATATATATATATATATATATATATATATATATATATATATATATACACTGCATTTATATAGGCGACATTTATTTAATTAAAAAATACAGAAAAAAATTGTAATATTATGAAATGATTTATATTTTAATATTTTTTTTAATGTAATTTATTCCTGTAAGTTTCAGCAGCCATTACTCCAGTCTCAATTAATCCTCAAACAAGCCTCAAAAATCCTTATAATATGCTGACTTTTCAGATATTATTGGTGCTCAATTATCAATAATGGTTCTTATAATTATCAATGTTCAAAAATAGATTTTGCTGCTTTATAATTACTGCAAACTGTGATACATTTTGCAGGAATTTTTTTTACATTTATTAATAGAAAGTTTAAAAGAACAACATTTATTTACAATGTAAACATTTTGTAACATTATAAATGTCTTTTCTGTCACTTTTGATTAATTTAAAGCATCCTTACTGAATAAAAGTATCTTCTTTTTTAAAAATAAGTCTTACCCAAAATGAAATAATTAAAGGTAATATATTGAATTATATAGCCTAATAATATTATAATAAAAAAAATTATATTTATAATATTAAAATATACATCAATTTTATATAAACTGAAACATTTATGATGCTGTACATAAATATGAGTCAAAGTAACTGGCAGACCTGTTATGAAGAACACAGTACTGTCCGTAGAGAGTGGGCTGTACTTTCTGCGCTCACGTTTACGATAAACCATCACTTCCATCACACCGGCTCCAAATGTCATGTTAGTAGTGTTCAAGGTCAGATGGGAGGAGGAGCCATCACATGTCTCAAAATATTGGCCTGTGAGAGAAAAACCACAGGATGATGGTACATTAGTGTGGTTACACTGACATCATTTGGGTCAGTGAATGGCTGAAACTCACCCATGGTGTGCCACACATAGACATAACCTCTACGTCTCCAGTCACTGGTCAAAGGAAAAGGCTTTCCATCAGGAAAAACATTGCACCTCTTCAAATCTGTACACTTCCCAAAACCATAGTCATCCAACCAGGATGTCCAGTTAAACACATAACCTGAACGCACCTGCCCATTAGCTTAAAAAAAGGGGGGGTGGAACAGATGAAAAAATAAAGCATACTTTGTAGAATGTAAATGCAACCTTTTAAAATACAGCTATTTTTGTCCTCTTGCAATTGTGCATAGAGGTTATAGGGGTATGAAGCACCTGAGGCCTCCATCATACCGTCGTCACAGTGCTCGTCATACACCAGGTTACCATTGCTGTCCTCCTTCTGGCATGGTGGGAACTCCAGAGCTGCAGTGAACGACACGCACGAGCCGTTCATTGCAGGGCTGTCGCTCGTGAGGCGCACCTTCGGTGGTTTGTCTGCGATGTTCACGGGAGAGTATTGAATGATTATTGTGTGGGGTCATGCACTTTAATGTACATTGTTATTCCTGTCATGCAGTACATTTTCATGTGATATTAATATATTTTTTCTCCAATATCTTATCTATTAACATATTGGAGAAACATTTTTTAATCTCACAATTTAAAAGAAAAAAAATGGCAATATCTAATCAATTTTTTTTATTTTTTATTTTTTTTACTTTGTGTTTTGGTGGGAAAACATCAGCACAAATATCTGTAAGTATATAGGGAGCGTCTCAATCAGTTCCCTAGTTCAGTAGTCAGGGCACTGATCAGAGAGTCGGCCATTTTAATGGCTGTCTCAGACGCAAAACGCTTCCAGTGCACCGAAACGTTCGCTTCCTAAAAAATACCACAATGCATGATGAAAATCAGGGACCATTGATGCTCACTATGGCTGTTTCTGAAATTGGATACTTCCCAAAAAACAGAAGGCCTATGTGACAAAAGTAGTATTTCTGAATTCACGGTCCTCATAAAAGAGTAGGCAAAACGTAACTGGATTATACTTCTGGGGAGAGAATTGTGCATACGATGGACACTTCAGGCTATCATGAGGCCACTGGAGAGGAATTGTGAATGGAAGTGAAGCAACGCCATGACGCGGTAGGTCACATTTTAATGAAACCATGGCAAATGGCTAGTGGTTACATTCATACTAAAGAACATACTTTTTAGCTGTCATGAAGTAGCCTAATCAATTATTCAAAATAGCCCAGGGTCCTTACTGTCCATTTCGGTGCCTGAATTCATGAACAGGATTCACGACCGAGGGAGCAAGAGAGCTAATTGAGACGCATCCCAATTTGATGACTTCTCTGATGTGTGTTATTAGCTGGCTTGTCTCACTCTAAAACTTTATATTATGTTTGCCAAAAGTACTAAAATTATTTTGATATCACAATTATTAAAACTGTGTAATAACTATCTCGTATCTATGTAAATAATAATCATCTTGATAATAATCATAAATGGTAGTCTACACTTATACAGGGCTTATATATGTACTCTTAAAAATAAGGTTCTGATTGGCATCCATTGTTTCATGAAGAACCTTTAACATTAGGTTCTTAAGGTTCTTAACTTCTTTATAGTGGAAAAATGTCTTTATATAAAAAAGAAACACATGTTTGTTAAATAACATTTCTAAAGTGTGGTATACACTTTCATAGAAACTATTTTATATTTATTTTACTCAAGAATGATCTTGTGAATCAAAATAAGGCTATTTTACAGAACTCTTACCGTGTCTGCGAGTCAGCTGTTGTTTGAAGGGGGGATACAGAGATTCATCCCAAGGGTTTGTGTCCGGATCCCATCCAGGGATAGGGAATGGAAAAGGGAGCTTGTGTTTGTGAGGGAACATGTCTCCATAAGCTGCACTCATGACAAGGGAAAACAAATATTTTAAAAGCATTGTGAATGAAAATAAAGCCATGTAAAACGCAGGGCTCCATTACACAAACATTTCTAAACTAAGGAACTGTTTCATGTAATTAAATGGACAATAATTTACATAAATTAGTCTTAAAATGTTTGAAACTATAAGGGAAACCTGGGATAGTTGTCTTGTCTCACAGGGCATCTGCCACTTTTCAATGGGCTATATCAACAAAACCAGAGGTGAACGAAAAATATCAACCTGGGACAGTCTCCATAGCCTTCTTCCCAAAAATAAGTCTTAAAATGCACTTTATTTAACGCAATAACCCTATCTACTGCATTCTGCGTATGGATAGCTACTTTTAACGAACTCAGATATTAAAAAGAGATTAAAAGAGTAGACTAGAAAGCTCATTCGCACAGTCGGTGAACGAAATATTGAGGAAAGTATTTTCACAAGACTGACTTGGATCTCACGCAAGAATCGTAGCCTAATTAGTTTCATGAGACTGCAGCGCGCGGACGAAAACAATTATTCCAACATAATGTAAAACATTTTTAAATTATAGGCTAGCCTATAGCCTGTCATATGTTTTTCCAAACACAATAAACGTCGTCTTTGGGGGAATTTAGAAATGGCAACCAGGAATCGTTTACAAAATCACCTTGATTCAGCAATCACTTCCAAACACGTAAGAGCCGTTATTATAAAAATGTGCGGACATCCTAATTGCTTCAAAATGTAACAATTATAAACATTCACCGACGACTTATTTTTATATGTAGGCCTATATAAAAACGAATCATTTCGTTAAAAAAAGTTTTTACTTACTTTTTTTGCTGTTCGTTATAGGAACAAAAATTGCACAGGCCAGCACAAGTAACATTTCCAACTGCATCATGTCGACTTTTTGGGTGGAAATAAAAATATAATTGATACGATTGGGTTTCTTTTTTCCTTGTGTGTCCCCACTTTGCCTGTCCAGCTGCTCGTCCCAGATGCCTCAAGCCCTCAACTCTCTTCTGCTCTTGCTCACATCTCACAGTCACTCGCACGAGCTCTAATTTAATACAACAATCATGTGACGTTTCTGTAACAAGAAGCATCTGATTCTTAATTGGGATGAGCGCGAGCTGAGAGGAGACCTCGGAGTCTCATGTCGGCGTGACTTGTTGCTTTCTTCTTGTATTTCGAAACACAAGCTATTTCAAAATAAGCTTATTTATCTCAGACTGTTGTCTGAGACTTCAGGCTTTATAGTCTTGTTCAAAACAAATAGGCTACGAAAAACATCTATAAAAATTAAAGTCAAACATTTAAAATATGTTAATCAGAAGAGGTTTATTGAAAATGTGTTCAAGTAAATAAACATGAAACTTTGTCTGTTTAAAAAAATAATTAAAGTCTTGCCACGTAGGCTAATCATTATGTTGACTAGCCTATATTTTTATTTAGGCTATTTGTGTTGCACAGAATGTCCGTTGACAGCAGCAACAGAGATTAAATTAGACTATATAAATTATTCGCATAGTCTGGAGGTGAATGAAATAGTCAGAAAATTAGGCTATATTTAAATAAACTGACACAGCCACCCGGGTTAACCCGTCAAAGTTTCCATACCAAAACAAGGTCGTGTCCTCTAATTGCAAAGCGTTAAAAACAATTTAGAAAGTCGCATGTCACAAGATTTCAAAACATAGTAGAGGTCTGCACTCTGCACAAATCCGCGCGCTTTCAGGAGACCGATGATCGTCATTGGGAAACGATTAGAGAGGTCAAAGGGACGAACGATTGCTTGCAGAAGATTTGTTCAGCGCAAGGCTCCTTCGATTATTTTAAAGTAAGACTGAAGTAGTCAGCTAAAATACAGAATTAAAAAAATGATAAAATTGTATTAGGCAGTTATTATGCGATATAATAACTGCATCCAAATCATCAGCTCATGTTTGCCCACTCGCATGTCATCACATGCTTTGATGTGTCTCTCACGAGCTCAGTTTGAAAGTTCCTCCCAGTTTTTAATGTAATCATAATGGCGTGACTTTTCATGACATTTATGTTACATTTTATCCTGCCCACTAGAACCAACCCTGAAAAGACAGAAACCCCCCCAGAATTTAATAAAGACAATAACTGACGAAAAGTATGTGGACACTTTCCTATTTTCAAGTACAGTCATATCACGGTGTTTTACTGACACCCAGTATCCAGTAAGCTAGTAGCCTATTATTTTTGTCATTTTTTGTCGTGAAGATTTTGCTTGGGAATATTGCTTTCACATGTAGGCTAGTGCTATCTTAGATAGATAGTCTACAATGAGATATATTTTCTAATTATTATCATTACATTATTTAACTAATTAATATAGCTTGATAATTTTTTTGCACGCACCTCTTATTCCAAACTGTAACTGTGGGAGAAATTAAGCTTTTGAAAGCTTCGAATCAATTGAACCAATTGCTTCGCAAAATGAAGCGTTCGAAACGCCACACGCTGGTGCCCTCTGCTGGTCAGAACACTGTAAATGCAACACACATTTAGACCAAAAATACATAAAAACAAACACATTTCAAATGTTTTATTGAAAGTAAATTTGCCAAAATCTATAAACTAGTGGCATGCATCAGATCAGCATATATGGAATATAGCTCTCTAGAGTTCTGATTATTTTAATTATTTAAAAATTTAAAAATAATTCTGTGTTGTAAAATAATCGTATAAAAAACCAATCCATATTGTTCATGTACAAGAAATGTGTTAATGTCAAAATAAAATGCCATTTGCAACCAGAAATCTATTGCATTTCCGTGTGAAACAGGATATTCAGTGAAAATATATTGATTAAAGATTTTAAAGACAAACTTTAGTTCCGGCAGAGGGATGACCTCTGACCTGATGGATGACAATACATAGGAGGTTTTAGACTTCTAATTCACAACAGGTGTTTTGTTTTGCTCTTTCCTCTGCATGTCCATATTCTTCAATTCTCACCTAATCGTATGCTTATGCTATGTGCTAGTGCTACATCAGGAAAGAGGTCACCCTTATCCCGAACTCGACTGCCTTGTGAACACATGTACGGGCTGTTGCCGGAAACCAGTGGTTATTGGCCTGCTATATAAAGTTTGAAATATGGATATTTGTCTATTGCACTATTGCACTATTCAGTGTTATTTCATAGCTGGGAAGATCCAGGATATTAATTTAAATATCTCGAATCTTCTTCAGCTGAAAGAAGAAACATAAACAGATGGCTTGAGGGTGAGTAAATTATAGGATAATTTCTATTTTTGGGTAAACTATTTTTTCAACAAAAATTCCAATGATTTGATTTTATCTGTCAGATGCAATTAACTAATTGTCTAAAAAGATTAAACACCAAGTGTCTGTGTAATATGTGTTCTTTTAATACATGTCCAGGGCTTGTTTTATTTTTTTTCAATGGATTGCTCTAAACAGGTCAATAAGAGACTATTAACTATTATTATTTATTTTAATCATACTAATTTCTGTCTAATGTCTAATTTAAACGTATGTACAAATGATCACAGCTTAGGTAAAAACCATAGACTGAAAAAGGGTTCAATGGTTCGCCGCTGGGGGGAGATCTCTGTGAATCCGAATGATTTTTTTTATTTTATTTTATTTTATTTTATTATTTATTTTGCAACTAAGGAAACAGCACTGCAAGCATTGAATACGTTAACATAAAAATGAAAAGAAAAAAATACAGACAAATAACAATGACACCTCAACCAGTAGAAAAAATTGATAATTCTTAATAAACTTGTTGTTCTTATTGTAATGAATAACTGAACTTAGTTTTTTTTTTTTTTGTAAATAAAATGATCTTTGCAACACAAAGATTCGACATAATATACCAGGGAATTTATTCCAGTGAATACTGTCAAAAAATGTCCAAAAAAAAATCGTTTGGGTTCTAAGCGTCATGAAGCAGTGTTTCAAGTAAGATCACTGGGTGGCGCTATAGTGCAGACTGTGTTCACTATCCCTAAACACAGAAGAAGGAAAGCCTACGGTGTGACAGAGGTGAATTATTTTGACACAACATCTTCATTTTGAGCATATAAACTCGTTATGCTTTGTCCTCTTAATTTTTTAGCATAGCTTATAATTCATTTAAAGATAAATTGAACATAAAACTGATTAAATGCAACTAACTTGCTTTGTATTTGATGACATTATCAGGTGTTTGACCGGGATCAGACCGTCTATCTCACCAATCATGAGTGTCCCGTGTTTTGTAAGAACGGTGGCCAGAGGTTTCGATGTTGGATCAAAACTGTTCAGACCAGCTGTTTTGTGTTCATGTAAAGACACAGTCACGCGGTGAGTATCCAGAATCTTTGACTGTTTCTAGAGGCTTTCTGTTTTAAAACCTATTGAGCTGGCTAAGTTACCTAGTTGACATGCAACAAAATAGTGTTTAGTTATGTAAGGAGCGCGCTGGATTTTGAGTTTAGTATCCGTTTTGCTCAAACTTTACAAAATTTGTTTCAGAAAAATGTCATCCAGAAGACAGACTGACCATTTAGAGAGAACCGCTAACGTTCATAGAGACATGGTGAGTCTCAGATTTCACAATCTATAGCCTATTGAATAAAACCCTTGGCCTGTAGACCATAGATTCCTTATAAATGGTTAACAAATGATGTAGCCAAGTAGGTGAAAGTTCAGGCACTTATTCTGTGTTGTAGGTCAACCAATGTCACTTGATTTTTGTCATGCGAGTTCAAGGCAACATTCTCTTTTGTTTATTGCTACTTTTATTGTACTACTTTAATTTGTAGATATGTAGCATACATATTATACATATTATGCAGAGTATTTTGTCATGCTATATATTATCACACTTTGTGTGTAGTTTTGAGTGATAAACATGTATAATGGCTCTTATTTGTACACCCTCATTGAATTTAAAATTCTGAGAGGCTAAAATATGGGGATTTTATTGTAAATTCTATGTAATGACGTGATTTGATGTTCTGTGTGCATCCAGGATCTTTTCTCTGCTCGTGTTAGTGACATTATGAACGAATCTGAAGCAGTAAAGCGACTGAGACTGGAGATTCCACATCCTGACTTCAGCTTCCGTGCTGGACAGTGGTAAGAACTGTAAACTATAAGTCATTTAGAGATATAACCAGTTTTACATAGATAGACATATCATTTTAGGTAATAGAGATTGGTTTGGTTTTATAGCGGTTCGTGAATGTTATTTTCCAGCTATCCAGTATAATTTGATGGGGCTGTGAAGGGTATATGAGACAATAAAAGTTGGGAAACATCAATCTAGACAGTCTGGAGCTAATACTGTTCCTAAATGTTACTTTATTTTCATTTGAAAGTGATTAATAGTTAAGATGACATGGAATTTTTCAAAATGGCCAGGAGATGGTGCTTTCCGCTCACATAAAATTCCCACTTATTTCAGTGTGAGAAGAATTAAAAAAAAAAAAATCTATTCGTACATCAGCCTCTCCTCACACTTCCTCTCTCTTTTGCTGCTCTTGTTGTGTATGTGTCTGAGTTTTGAGGGAGTCTGAGTGAGGTGAAAAAGTCAGGTGATGATTTATGCAGATATATGCACATAAACTCCTCCAGACCATATGATGTTGTGTTCCTGCTAAAGAACATGAGTCAGGGATAGCAGCGCGAGTAGGTGTTTGTGTGTGTGTGCCCCTGACATATGTGCTTATCACTTATTCATGCTCTGCATACACATATGGTGACTCTCAAAGCATATGTTGTTTAATTTTTTAATTTTTATTAAGTAATATTGACAAAAGTAATTTTGTACACTAGGGGTTTGTTGTCCCTAGGGTTTTGTTGTCAAAGCAGCTAGCTGAGATAGCAACTTTTCAGATATTCTGTGTGGGAAGAATACTTTCTCTTAACTTTCTAATAGTACTTCATGTAGTTGTGTTGTTAGTTTTCAGTAGTGTGTCAGTATAGTATATTTAGGGCTGTGCAAAGGTTCATTGCGATTAATCCCATCCAAAATAAAAGTTTGTGTTTACATAATATATGTGTGTGTGCAGTGTATAATTATTTTGTATATATAATTACACACACATGCATGTATATATTTAAGAAAATGTGTTATTCATACTGTATATAAAATATTTATATATAATATACAGTAGATCATGGATTCATATATATATATATATATATATACAGCATTTACGTGCAAATAATTCTTAAATATATACATGCATGCATATGTATTTATATACAAAATAATTGCAGACCGCACAATCTCAATTAATCTTTGCACAGCCCTAATTATATTATATTAATCATTTTGAATTGCTCCCTTTTTCACAGGGTGGATTTCTTCATCCCAGGTGTGGAAACAGTGGGCGGCTTCTCCATTTGCTCGAGTCCTGGCCTGCTGCAGAGAGAGGGAGTTATCGAACTGGCCGTCAAAAACGCACGCCATCCTCCAGCACAATGGATTCACACGAAAGTGAGTGAATGAAAAACGATGTATATACACTGAAAGAAGCCTCTTATGCTCACTCTGGCTGCATTTCTCTGGTCAAACATAGAGTAATATTGTGAAATAATATTATGACAATTTGAAACAACTGTTTTCCATTTTTATGTATTTTATAATGTAATTTATTCCTGTGATCAAAGCTGAATTTTCAGCATCATTACTCCAGTCTTCAGTGTCACATGATCCTTCAGAAATAATTCTAATATGCTGATTTGGTGCTCAAGAAACATTTCTTATTATCATTATTATTAATGTTGCCATTTCATATTTTCGTCGGAGCATGATACTTTTATTTAAGGATTTATTTTTGATGAATGGGAAGTTAAAAAGAACAGCATTTATTTGAAATTAAAAAATCTATGTACTGTTACTTTTGTAAAAATATTATCCATCCTTGCGGGAATAAAAATATTAATTTCTTTAAAAGAAAATCTTACCAAACCAACACTTTGACACTGTAATGGAATTAACGTCATTATTCCGATTTTTAATCTGTTTTACTTTTTATTTTGAATGTACTATTCCATGATTTTATTGAAATGTTTGTTAAAGGAATAGTTCACCCAAAAATAGAAATTATTCCATAATTTACTCACCCTCAAGCCATCCTAGGTGTATATGTTTCTTCTTTCAGCTGAATAAGATCTGACTTATATTGAATAATATCCTGGCTCTTCCCAGCTATGTAATGACATTGAATAGTGCCTGAGTTTTTGAAGCTCCAAAAAGCACATCCATCCCTTATAAAATAATCCATGCTACTCCAGTGGATTAATAAAGGCCCTCTGGAGTGAAGCATTTGGTTTTTGAAAGACAAATATCCATATTTTTAAACTTAATAAAGTATAATCGCTGGTTTCCGGAAACAGTCGTACGTGTGTTCACAAGGGAGTCGAGTTCGGGATAAGGGTGACCTCTGACCTGGTGTAGCACATAGCATAAGCATACGATTAGGTGAGAATTGAAGAATATGGACACGCAGAGGAAAGAGCAAAACACCTGTTATGAATTAGAAGTCTAAAACATCCTATGTATGTCATACATCAGGTCAGTCGTCATCCCTCTGCTGGAACTAAAGTTTGTCTTCATAACCTTTAATCAGTATATTTTCACTGAATACCCTGTTTCACATGGAAATGATTTCTTGTGCAAGTACAATATGGATTTGTTTTTTATACGATTATTCTACCATAGAGGAAAACAATAATCAAAACTCTAAAGAGCTTTATTCCATATATGCTGATGAATGTCTTTATTTCATAGATTTTCTCTTTGTGTGTGTAAATTCTAGGGCTGCAGCTTAACGATTATTTTTATAATCGATTAATCGGATGATTATTTTTTCGAATAATCGTATAAAAATTCTACTTGATTTTTTTTGTTTATTATAACTAAATAAAACCCTAAATCAGGGTTGTGGCGATCAGGACGAGGCCCAGGAACATGAGAGATGCGAGGTGCGTCTCACAAGTGTCGTTCATTATCACTCACCCCACCGGCCTCGCGGTGCTCTCTCACGTCCCTCGGCCTCATCCTGCTCGCCACAAGGGTATTTATGTGTAAAAGTGTACTTTAAAAAGTGCAAAAGCCACACATTGAGTTTTACTAATATCAATATTTGCATTGTTTTTAAAGTCCCCGTGAACTGGAAGTTGCAAACGATTTTTCTCCAGTGCTGTGACGTATTTCCAAGTGAAACGGAATATTGAACAGAGGGCAGGATTTTACTCTAGCGCTCCTCCTCTCCATCTCTCGCTCATAGCAAACTAACGGTTTGAGGGGAGTGGTTAAGCGTTTCCACACCCAAACTGTGAAACCTACGTCATCAGAAAAAGAAACCGTTCCAGACCGGAAGTAACTTTTCAGATTTTGATTAAAGATTACTAAGGTAAAACATTTTTTTAATATATATTCACCTGCACGGATTAATTGTTCACCACAAGACTAGTAATATGCGCTAACAAAGTAAATAGGTTCAATTTTGATTTCACGGGGACTTTAATGATAATTGCTGATGGCAAGTTGACAACCATGATTAATGTAAAAAGAAAGATATCCAACAATTTTTGTTAAAACAAATTTACACAGACATGTTCTTCAGATGTGATATAAACTAAAAACATCTCAAATATATAATTCAGCTATTTTTTTTATTTAAAATTAATTGAATTATAAGGATCAATTGATAAAATAAATATAGAAAGACTGAAAACAAGCGTTTGAACGTTGAGCCGCAGTAGATCGTGTTTGAAAAACAATGAGACAATTGCTATAAAAAGAGAACGGAATAGAGGTAACTTATGCATCAAGCTAACAGGCATGATTAAAAGGACAGGAAAAAGGATGCATTAGTGCACAAGCATTCGCTGAAAACCACTGAGTACAGTGACTAAACAAACTAAACAATATTTTACAGCTGCTGTTATTTAACTCCCTTTATATTTAGTGCTTCACATTGTGAACACCGTTTTAAAGGGTACATATCATGCTTTTAAATCATTCATTTTTACATATAAATCATACCGTTGTGGTCTATATAAAACATAACTGCAATGCTTGGGTCTGAATTCCTCATTATTATAGCTCCACAGGCCCCTTTTCTACCCCTTTTCTGATGTGCGTCTTTGAGCGACCCGTTTCAATGCGTCCCCTTTAAATAAAAAGGAGATGCGTGCGTCACACCCCGTCCGCTCTCCAGGTCGATGAGTTTACGGTCAGTTCAACTCCCCACGTTCGGCCATTATTGTAGTTTGATTAGAGATATACGATTATATACAATACCTTCAAAGAACATTTTTATTCACACTTTAATAAAAGGTCAACAACTGAAGACTTGTCCATCAAGCCTTACATATTCGAGCCAGAGCGAGCGAGTTGATAAAGACGACGACGAACCTGCAGAACAACCATTTCTTCATATGTATATATTGGTATGTGAGTTAAAGGTATAGCGGAGGATCTTTCCGAATTTTAGAGAAGACCCGCCCTCTCCAATTTTTTAAAAAAATGCACATGCACAAACACAACACTCTTGCTCCCGAGAGCTAGGGAACGTCTATACGCCTTGCACAATTATGTTGCAAATTCTAAACTAACTAAAAAACATTCATAAAAAAGACAACATGTCAAATGCCCTTCCGTGTTTTATTTACTTATTATACTGATCGATTGAGTGACCGAGGACTCAAGACATGGTATGTGCAACCCTGTATCACACGAAATACGTTCTGAGGAAACTATTTTGCAAATCGCAATTACGTTATAGCAACATATAAGCAGTGCTATTACGTTGGTCCTTAACCTAATATCTCTCATTGTTAATACGTTATTTTTATACATAGTTGCATATGGAGAAGTAGCTTGTTGCATTTGTGTAATAATAAACACACAAGATTTTAGAATATTTCAGCGTGATACCATTTACCATTTAGGACAAAAGGCTACTTTAGACAAATTGAGATGTTTACCGTGTCTATGCGGTGCATGACTCGTGCCAGGGCTAGCATTGTAGCTTGCATTAACTTTTACTAGTGATTTTAAATGGATTTCTCCAAATAGCGTGACAAACTTTACCTGTCTGGTAGAATCTTCGCGACTGCGGCATCAGTGAGAAGCCCAACCTGTGCTTTTAGCGCACGCCAGCGTGTGATATTCACCCAAAATCTCTCTGGTCTTGTTTCTATATTCTGCGGCCTTTCTCTTCTTATCATACACTTAGTAAACATTTTTTCTCTTTCGACCCTCAGCCATTTTCAAAGGAATGGCTGAAACCGTAACTCCGACATAATACACATGAAAGTGAAAACTACATAGGGATGAGCACGTAGCCTACGACGGCCTTACGTAAACATATCACCAGAATGATTGACACTTAGGTGGACCAATAGTATAGACTACCCACCCGGAAAAAGAAAATCCTCCGCTATACCTTTAACTGTTTTGTGTTATTAGTGAAAGTCGACTATTTCTCTTGTTAAAACAAGCACACTGACAAGATAAATGACTACGGTCTAATCTTACCACAAAAAAAATCTGTATTGACAATATGATGCGTTTAGAAAAGCATCAGAAAACAACGTAGCTAAATGACCATTGATGAAACTCAAGAACAATAATACTGCAGACGTGTAACGTTACTTCAAAACAAAAACAAACCCTTCTTTATACTGGTAGAGGTTGTTGAAGTGGGAATCCTTGAAGTGTTTCAGGTCACTAACGTACATCCAACAACCGAACATTTTGACTTGCCCTCTCGTAACTTCTGCATCATTGAGCTCGGACTACAAAATCGGAGCGAGAAATAATAATGGCGGATTGCTCGAAGTGTTGGACCGGTAGTCAATGTCCTTATTTGTCGGTTCCGCTGCAAATACGGTGACGCACTTGCTCAAAAAACTTCATAGAGAACAGAAAAATCTGAACAGGTTGCAAAATATGACCAAAACAGAATATAAAGATATAAACGAATCACCTGAAGAGAATAATTTAATCTTTTCTGTACTTATAAACACTCCAAATATACAACAAAATCCATTTAAGGGCTAAAAAAGTGGATTTTGCATGATATGTCCCCTTTAAGTTAAACTATTTCTGTGGTGGTGCTATTTCAATATATCACACACTTATGTTGCAAGCGAACTGATTGCGCAACCTGATGCTCGAGACAAGGAAGTTCCGGAAGTCTCCCGCATATTGATAGCGGGTGCCCGCAAATTAGTTCAAACTCACGGAATCAAGAGCACACATGCGAGACAGAAGATCATGTGCTCCAAACCGTCCGTGTTGCGCATGCACATCACGATTGGTCTGTTTCAACCAATCACCAGTTAAACAATCCCCGTGACGTAATCAGACCAACTGATCGATAATGATATTCGTTGACAAGGATTTTCATAATCGATTATTATCGATTTTCTTGATTAGTTTTTGAAGCCCTAGTAAATTCCTATTTTTTGTCTTCCGTTTCAGTGCGCTGTGGGCTCTCAGGTAGCAGTGAGGGTGGGAGGTAATTTCTACTTTGACCCTCAACCTTCGGACCCTGTGGTGGACCTGTTGCTGGTAGCTGGTGGTGTGGGCATTAACCCTCTATACTCCATCCTTCTGCATGCAGCAGATCTGCTCAGACACACGGATGGTCAGAGGTACACACCAGGACACACACACCTGTGCTACAGTGCCAAGAACACCAAAGAGCTGCTCTTCAAGGTAAGTGTATGTACCCTTGACTTGTCACTGAGGGGAGATTAAAGCTGACAACTGATTTTTACATATCTGCTCTATTTAGAACACCATCATTGACATTTGTCATGAGCGACCAGATAGATTCTCCTGCGATCTCCATGTTACCCAGCAGAGCTCTGACATAGAGCAGGAACTTCAGCCTTACACCATAAGTGAGTAGAAATATCTACAGTTAATATTTTTGCTATCTGTTACCTAAAGTTTTCAGATATGAGATATTCTTGTGTCTCCGCAGGTGGAAGGATATCAGAAGAGGAGCTTCAGCGCTATGTAGACTCGGAGCGCACATTGTGTTATCTTTGTGGCCCTCCTCCTATGATAGAGAAAGTGAGTTCAGACCTGCAGAGAATCGGCCTACCGGAGGACAGAATCCTTTTTGAGAAATGGTGGTAGCTGTAAACCTCCACCCAAAGCAGAGGACACAGTGATGGATGCATTTGCATCGGTGTCATTTATAGAAACAGACTTTAATTGCAATGGACTTTGAGATCTGCTGAAACGCACAACAGACGCTATGTCTGCATTTGATCAATTTTCTAGACTCTGTTTCTGTTATACCTCATTTTAAAGATGGACTCAACTAATTGACCATTACAAGCACTATAATGATCTACATTATAGTTCATTTGCTGGTTAATGTCAGTAGTCCTGCTTTCAAGGCATGTTAAAAGATTGCACACTCAGTTTGCACCGTTTTTGTGTTTTTTAGAACATTTTATTTATTCATTACAAACATTCTTCACAGGGACGTTGAAATGATCTGAAAAGTGGTGCGACAAAAACATTTGTAACTATATTTAATATAGTCCTAATTTGCTGAAAGCTGCTAAACACGGTAGAAGTCCCTGTAAAGTCGTTGAAGTATTTATTATAAATTTATCTGTGCACATAATTTTCTTTTTATTTCACGTGCCCTCATAATCTTCAAACTAAATAAGCCATATCCTCAAGCCACTATTTTCAGCTTTGCAAGTACAGCCCTCATCTACTTTAAAGACCGAAATTTGTTTGTTGAAATTGTTTCCATAACATAAAAATCCGTGAACAAATCAGACATGAACCGTATCATATATTATGCCTTTCAAAGGAGTACTCCGGTCAATTTTAACATTGAGCTCATTTTTTTGTACATTTGGAGTGCAGTCAGTACAGACAAAAACGACAAAAATCGGTGTTGCCTACACCGTGTTATTGTCTTTTTAAAATTCGCACCCTGTTGACTTCAATGGAGGTAGTTCTAAACCTGCTTTTAGCCTCAGTTTAGCCTCAACATCCTTGATTTGTCAATGTCATTACGAGTGCACAGCCATGTGAGTGGTGTTATTAAGAGTGACCACGGTCAATCTGACTGCAGTAGATGTGAAAGATATGAATAAAAATGATGTTAATTCAGCCAGCTCACATACCTTTATTTGCTTCCTGTTTTCGGTTGAAGCCCACAGTAGTTGATTGTAGAGTTCACGCGCGCGATTGTTGGTGAATATCATCTCAAACCTCCTCCATGTGTTCAACATCTGAATTTTTTTTGCACTCCAAATGTAAAAAAAAAAAAAAATAGCTCAATGTTAAAATTGACCGGAGTTCTCCTTCAAGAGCAAGTCATACCTTTTTTTCCTGGTAGTAGTTTTTTTTATTTTTTTATTTTTTTTTTTTTATCAGATTTTACCGTAAAAAGGGGGACTACAGCTGCAATGTTGAATTGTTTTTAGGCAAAATTTAACTCTTAAAATATAATGTCAATAATCGTCATGTTTGAAACATCCACTCGAAAGTCACAATGAAAAGCGACGTTGAAAACAGAAGAAAACTCCAAGCTGTAGCTGTAATTCAGGGTTTAGCTCCAACTCTACTCAAACACCCCTGAACCAGCTCAAGTTCTAGTTATGAGAAAATTGCAGTTAGGTAAATTTGATAACGGTTTGGAGTTGAACGGTTGAGGAACCCTGCTGTAAATGATGCGTCTTTAATTTGCATCTTAACCCCATCATTGAGAGCTTTTATTTACACCTTTAACTGTCTCACAGACATTCATTATAACTGTTCCTTTCCAAAGTAGGACATCAGTTACTGCCATCCTTACTGCGACTGTCTTCAATAAATAAAAATCTTGTTCATTTTACGAATTTGACTTTGTGTACGACATATTGCATATGCTAACATTGTATGTAATAAAACGAGCTAACGTCACAGATACACACAGGTACAAGTCTCAACACATGGTCAGCGTTTAGCATATTCCGAGCTCCTTGAAAGGATGTTTTTTTCATGTTCGTTTGAATCCTCTGCCATTTGCTACAGCAATTTACCTTAAAAACCCAGATAATTATGGGATTCAAACCCCTCTTCGCAATCTTACCAGGACAGTTACTCCATCAGCCGATGTATTTGCCCAGACAAGGGCCTGACTATAGTGTGTTCTGCCTGAATAAACATGAGCATATTGTAATGGTTAAATATGCATAAATATGAATAGTCAGCACACTCCAGAGAATAAAGCTCTCTCAGTTACCGCCGCTCGCACTTCCTCCAATTTAACGCACGTGATTGTGCGCTTTAATTCCTGATCGCTGTTTGTAATGGCGTCCTTTTTTCCAGGGCTGATGTTCGGGATGTCGATCCTCTGCGTGTGGAATTCCACCGTCCTTTCCGCTTGATCTCTCCTCTCTGGGCTTTCTGGCAAAGTCTGCCCGTTTTCCTTTTGGATATTCTCACATTGTCTCATCAGACTTTTGTTTTCTCTCTCCATTCTTTCCATTTCTCTCTCAATCGTTGCCAGCTGTGATATCTCCCTCTCTGATGTCCTCTTACTATTCAAGTTCCTTTTGTTTTGACCTCTGAGGTGCAGTTTCTGGAAAACATACACACAAACTGTCAAGACACTGAGCTACTTTTGAGGATTTTAATGTCAACTGACAACGCAATTACAATTTCACACAGTTCTCTTAGACAACTCTAATCTAATTTTAGCAGAATCCTTTCTTTTGTGGCAGAAATAAACCTTGTGCCATGCATACACACCGTCAAGTCTCTCCTCTTGCGAGGCAGCGTGGGTCTCTGGAGGAAGAGGATCTGTTTTGTGGCCAAACTTCCATCACTAAGACAAAAATAACGTTAGAGCTTTTTAAATAAAAGATAAAAAATTAAGAGAAGACTCCCTTTTCAGGCAATGTTTATACTATAATTATTTCCTAAATTGTACCATTGAACATAATGGTCTTGATTAAGGGTTTACTATGAGTTTGGGACCTTTTCATTTTAACGATGGGAGTGGGCAGCACACACATTAGTCTCCAGCCGTATGGAGCCAGAGACTGGAGCAGAGGGATGTAGTCTGCCTTCACGGCGACACCCTGCAAAACAGAGCTGTCATTTAATCAAATTCATGTGTGAACAAATTTCACTCATATGTCTGCACTCAGTTAAGTTAGTTGGTAAGAAGAATTGTGTAAATTTTACAACAACTGATAGTATTGTTCATTTAAAGGGATACTCGACTTTTTTTTTTGAAATGGGCTCATTTTACAACTCCCCCAGAGTTAAACAGTTGAGTTTTAGTGTTTTCAATTCCATTCCATAGTAGGAAAAAAATATACTATGGAAGTCAACGAGACCAGAAACTGCCTGTTTACTGATATTCTTCTAAATATCAGAAAATCAGCTGAATGGATTCGAAAACGGTAAAACCCAACTGTTTAAGGCTGGGGGAGTGGTAAAATGAGCGAATTTCCAAAAAAAAAGTGGAGTATCCCTTTAATTGAATTTGGGATGTACCAGAGTAGACTTACATCGATCACAGTCCATTGCTCAACTACAATAGCATCGTACACTGTGGTTGGCCCAGCATCACCTGAAGGACTTTGGAAGATAAAAACACTCTCCACCGTGGAAGATGATGCTGAAGATAAAGAAAAAATCATTGGAAAAGGTGGATATGAATTACAAAGTTTTTAGATAAACCAGGATGGAGCACTCATATTACTACGAATGGGAGAAAGAGCAGCTAGCAATATAGCAGAATAAGGCCCGCCTTCAAAATAAAGCGGCCAATCCTCAGTTAGTAAGTCTTCAAGTCACTGTAGCTGCCCTCCGGTTACTACAGCCTATTTAACACTATTTAAGTTATGGGATAGTTCATCTCAGATTTTGAAATATGTTATTTAAATGCAAGTATGGCAAATGGTGTTTGGGATTTCAGGATTTCCCAATTCAAATAGATAGGACTTTGTCTTGGATGCCTGGAGGCGTTGCAAATAGAGTGGTGCAGGTATGACGTCATTTTGTAGGCCAATCAGCAGTTAGCATCACAGTGGTTCCATTGACAAAAACCCAATGGGATTTTCCCATAAACTTTTGGATTATCGCTAAAAACAAGCTTTGTAATCAACAAAAGTTGTTATATCCATCAAGATAATTATCACAGATTAACAAAACTTTCTAAATGCAGTCGCCAGAAGTACAAAGCTAAAGGGAGGCTATTAACGAACTGCACCATGGTCGCATGACTTCAATGTCAGCGTCGCTAAGCTTCAAAAGCCAACTCTTTCAATGTTTATCTAAAAAAAAAAAACATTTTCCCAGAAAGTTTGAGTTAGAATAGTTTATACAAACACAATTATAAGCATAACGAGGATGTAAAAGCAGACCGAGTTTGTCTGTTCAGCATGATATTTAATGTCCCAGACAGTCTCTATAGTTCCATTTAGCCACTTGTTAGCAACCACCTTTTGCAAGACACCTAACAGTTTCAAAAAATCACAAGTGGGGTAATATTGATATATTTTATGTTTTAGAACAAAACATAAAAGTGTCTTGAGCTTTTGTTCATCACAGACCTCGTTTCAGCCATTTAACCAACACGACATCACAACATACGGGCATTTGCCGACCCGGTGCCATTGCTGTGGGCAGAACATTAGAAGAAGCAATATGAGTTAAACAAAGTGAAATGAGTTTTGTGCTAAAAAGTGAAAAGGGTTATCTCCTGCTGGGTCAATGGATGTTCAAATCATGCCGGAGGTTCAGTTAAATTGGGATTTTACAGTATAACCCTCATTAGACTCCATGCATGTGAAAAGACTAACAATGACGGAGGTTATGGCTGGCGAAAATAAACAGGAAATAAACTCACTCAAAACACGCAAGAATTTGTTTGACAAAAGCACTATGTTGTGTTTTATTGCGAGTGTAAGTTAACACTTTGCAGTTTGAATAATGTCCTGTTACTGTATGAACAAAATGACGAGGTATTAAAAACATACAAAACAACATTCATTGTTTCCACTGTTCGATCGCGCCCGTGACACACTCTCTCTTTCTCTCTCTCTCACACACACACACACACACACACATTCCAGCATTGCAATCTCAGATTATGTCCCTAAAGAACCTGCGTATAAAGTAGTTCCACATGACAGTAATTAATTTGCATGCGAGTTATTCATTTTTATACATGCACCGAACCATGACACCCGCACCGGTTTGTTTCAATGCGAATACATGTACCGTTCCACCCCTATTCTTCAGTGTACAAAAAGTACATCCATATTACAGAGAGCACCAGTGACTGTTTTAAGGGGAACATAGGAATTAAGTTCAGTGCAGGCTATGGCTTTTTAATAGACAAATAGTCTAGCATCATGCTATACCTTCGCTATGATGACTAAGTTACTTTTCCATTGATTGCACTTGAGCAAACATCACCAACCCAACCCTCGGCAATCTGATTGTACGCCTCCAGCCAAAAACTCGTAGCCAATACCAGATAAAGGTACACATGAAAATACTGTAACTGAGGCAAAGCTGCATAATCAGTGTTCAGTGCTTCCTTCGTTACTACATACGGATCCACATCATTTATGAATGAAATGTTTGCATTATACCTCTCTCTGTCTTGTTTTAATAGTCTCTTTATAATCTATTTCACTTTGTCTCTTCATGATTTGCGTAAAATTATAAACAGAAATAAATATTTGTTTGTAAAACGACATTCTCTGGTAGACTTTGTAAACACAGCAGCTTATGCCCTCAAAGATGGCGTCTCCGGGGAGGTCACGTGACATTAATTTGCCTGTGGGAACTATGTATATAGTTGCCAAGTGAACAGAATTTCCTTATAAAGACTCTTTCATGAATTGTTGATCAATGATTATGATTGCTTTATAATCACCAGTCAGAGCTAAAATAATGATAAAAATAGTTATTTTAGTGTTTTTTATTCTGTTTATTTTTATTAGCCTATGTTATGCATTTTGTCACATTTGTTTTTTTCTAATAATTGTATATTTCATTAAAACTCGCAAAATTAATAAATCTAATACATTAGTAGAACATGTTTTTTTTATTCAGCAAAATTTACTACCATTTGTAAATTGTCACAACATCTCCGTTACCTGCATCATCTCCCAGGTGAAAGTAGCCGTCGATGAGCTGTGCGCCACTTCTGAAGTGCTGCGTCATGTGATCCAGCCAATGAGAGTCAACCGAGCTTACAAGCCCCGCCTCCCTGCGCACCTGCAGTGGAACCCTCAGAGAAAAGTATTTTGGCGATCCCGACAGAACTATCGTGTGGTTGTACAGCGCGAACACCTGCACACCTACACATACAAAAACAAATACTGAGACTTCAGTTGCTATATCGATTCAGACATAAAAACAGATAATTAACAAACTTATAAGCAACTGCTACACGCGCAAGTGTTTCTCAGAATATTTTTTAAACAGCAGCTGTTGTTTAAAAGTTATTATTGAGTAACTTACATTTTAAACACAATGGCCCTCATTTATCAAAAGTGCGTACACCACATTTCCAGCGTACACACTGCGTACACTCAAAACCACGGTGAGTTTGAGATTTATCAATATGGACGTTGGCGTACGGCACGCTCGAATCCTACAGCTCAGGAGGTGGTGTACGCACGTTTTGAGTTAGTGAGGAAATGCGCAGAAAAATTCCTAACACCACAAAACGCACTGACAAACTAAAAGATATGATATATTATGACCCACTGTAAAACAAACAAACAAAAAAACAACAACATAGAAATTATAAACTTCAGTATTTATTTTTGTGTAACGTGGACTTCAATGTTTAATTTGTGTGACTTTACCAAAGCATTTGATTTGTAAGCATATAATATTCCTTCAGTTGCGAGCCCACTTTACCCTGACGTTTCAGGATTATCCCCGGCAGGTGCGCACGGACTGGGTTCGGTAGCCTAATGAAAGGCTTTTCAATGACCAAAAAATAATTCAGACTGACAAAATAATAAAAAATACATTCTTCTTCTTTTAAATGATGATAATAATAGAAATAATAATAACGACATCCTTCTTCTAAATAACAATAAGCATCATTAATGCAAATCATAATAATAAGAAGAATACTATTACAAATTGTCATGCAATTATTAATGTGAATGAATGGTACTTCACATCACATCATCATCACTATTATACATGTGACGTGATTCGAAATTGAATGCTAATTTCAAAAGACGTGCTGTAAAATAATGCATTGTGATAGGTCATTTCGTCTCCACGTCGGAGAAGTTTCTCTTCTTTGCCGTCTTCCGTGTGTCCATGGCGTAAAATAAGGGCGTGGGGGGAGCGGAGACTTGAATATTTAGGGGCGTGTTATTCTAATGACGATCGTTTTCGGCCGCGGGATTTATCAAGGGCAGGCATTGCGTACACCTGGATTTCAAAGGTACGCACATCTTCATAAATCAGGCGGTGAGAGGAGTGTAAGTATAATCTTACACCACCCGTTTCTACGCAAGATTGATAAATGAGGGCCATTATTCCGTTACTTGGTCTACTTTTGCTCAACAAACTAAAATTCCAAACAAAGACAGAATAATTTCTGTCACACAATACACAGCAATCACTTTCCTGAATAAATCAGTGTGTTTGAATGAATTGGTTTAGTAAATTATTCTATGGCTAACTCAGTGACGGTTGCTACTGTATTAGGTACTACATTTGGTTTGAAACTTCACGACCGTTAAATAAGTTCTATATACTGTAGTATGAATGTGTGTGGTATGAATGAAATTAGGACGTACTACATCCGCCATGTTGTCACTGTCGTGGCATTCGGACATTCATACCCCAGATAGCAAACTGACATTGAATCAACGTGGAAACAACGTCTCTCATGACATTGAAACAACGTTGATTTTGCTCATCGAATTAACGTTGAACCAACGTCAGACGCGGCATTCTTTAAAGCTAAATGAAAATCGAAAATTGGTTTGCTTTCATAACGTTGAAACAACGCGTTGATTTCAAGTTGATTTTGAATGACGCGTCTGACGTTGGTTCAACGCTAATTCGATGAGCAAAACTATGTCAGATCAACGTTGTTTCGATGTCATATTTCCACGTTGATTCAATGTCAGTTTGCTATCTGGGACTTCGTTTGCATATTTCGTTTTTTGCAAACTATATACTGTATATTGCGCAAGTCACTTGTTTAATTCCTGAATCAATGAGTTTTTGAACAAATTAGTTGAATGAATGATTCCATGTGATGCATTTTGTCAATATCTCGATTCTACTATATGTAAACCGTCTCTACACTTAGATTTGAGTCATACGCATATTTTGAAAATAATTATGAATTGGACCAACACAGTAGAGAGCCTAGTCCCGCCTCTCCGCTTCCGGCTCATGGGACCTTATTTCGGAAAAAATGTGTGGTAGTCAATGGCGAGAGACAACTTATCTTTTTATTCCGTCTGAACTGTGCCCTGAATTACACATATGATGTGTGTCAATTTAAAAGATAATTAAACGTCACAGTTTGTCATAAAACAGAAGAGTAACATTTAGTTTTATGTGAAAATCGCTCAATGAACTACATCTCCCGGGAAGCGAAACAACAAGCAAGATCCGCTGCTCGTGTGTGCGCAGTCTGGCACAAAACACTCAGGCGTGACGGCGTAACGTTACGATTATAACGTAAGACTATAGAAACAATGACAGACATTAGCCTCAGTAAAGTTAGCTTCATTCCTTGAGAGAATATGCGCACCTTTGGGGTTTGTAGTCTTTGTAATTACGTATTTTTTACAGTCTTATACCACAACAGTTTTACATCAAACTGCGACTTTCTTTACTTTAAAATGTATCTTTTAAATTGATAAACATCATGTGTAATTCAGGGGCAGGGCACAATTCAAACGAGATCAAAATATTTGTTGTCTCTCGCCATTGACTACCATACAATATTTTTCCGAAATAAGGTCCCATGGTGGTCGACCGGAAGGGGAGGGACTTACAGTAGGCTCTCTATGGAAGTGAACTGAGAAAAATCAATGAGATTTCAAGAAAGTAAAGAATTGTGATCAAATCAAACCTGGGAATTATAAATATCTCATCTTATTTGATATAATTATCTTGATAAAACTTGCTTTCATTTTCTGTATTTCTACAGACTGCATACTTACGATTCAACATCTGGGAGGGTCCAGTGCACTTGCTGGGTTTGTCTTGGCTTTTGACCTGCTCCCTGTGCTCTTTTTTGTGTTTTTCTGCCAAATCACAGCTGGGCAGGACCGGCTGCATTCTAGTATTTTGGGTTTGATGTGGCTCTGATACACAAGAGCTTATTATAAACTCAGCTTGTGTACATTCACATTTATCATTCAGGTATTGATAGTCTGGAGACTGATGGTTCTCAGTGAAAGGATTCTGATTATTCCAGCACTGGCTGCTCTCAGTGCTTTGTATTTGAAGGCTGCGGTTCATAAAGTCTTCATCGTGTTGGCTCTGGTTCTCGAAATCTGGATTAAAGGTCGTACGGTACTGGTTTCGATGATCCCCGTTGCCTCGATCCTGTTGGCTCAGCTCGCTCACAGGGCTGAGGGTCTGAGGTCTGCTGCTGTGATGCACAGAACAGGGACTGGAGTGCAAGGAGGAAAGCTCTTCTGGTTCCCAGTGACCAAGGAAATATGGACCCCCGCCGGGCTGGGGCAAAAACCCCACAAACAGATCACCCTGATCAGCCAAATCCTGCACCTGCATCCCCAAAAAACAACCCGGAACAATTGAAAACATTGAGACATCCATCACGACACCTGTTCTATTCAAAGTGTACAACAATGAATGCAAATGGATTCCAATGTAATATGAATACTTCTACAGTGTCTTTGGAAGAGGAAAGTGGTTCGATTTCCTCTAGATGCTTTTAAAATAAGCTCTGTGGAGCTGTGACAGGAAATGCTAATGAAAACCATATTTTCCAATCATCATACTGTCACGCCACACATGCATATGTCTAAATCATCAGTAAATGTCACACGGCACACACACACACTCAGTCAAACACTGCTTATCTCCAGATAAATGCAATTACTGAAAAGGCGAGGGGGTGACGACTAATGGAATGGCAGATGAATACGGGGTGTCTGTGTCTTTGCAGCAGCCTGTCGGCTTATGTTTTCTTCTTTACAGCCATATTGTAAGACCACGATAGAGGGAAGTAAGTGGGTTTTTCATGCCATCTTTAATTGAGTGATGACATTAAGTGTGCCACTAAAGTCAATGAAAAACATATTGACCTGCTACTCTCTGTTTGAATGAAAGAAAATTCATTTTTTAAAGAAGGTCTAACCTTTTTCACATAGCCCTGTATGACTTCTGGGTCAGGGTCCTGGTGACCGAGGTAACACACGTCTGTTGTGAGATGAGGCTCCACCCAGTTCAGCAGACCACTGTCGGAACCACTGTAACAAAAAAGCACCATAAGGGCCGGTTCACATATCACGTCTTTTGCGCGCTCAAGTTCGTTATTTCAAATATAGGCGCGCGGTATGCGCGCTCATAATGGAAGCGATGCGGTCATCTCAACTTTTCAGAATACCGCAAGCGCACCATACGCACACAATAGGTCATGTGACAAGAACCAACTGAAGCGCAACCGCCCTGGCGCTTTGGAAAATGGAGAATGCGGCGCGCCCAGCGTTTTTTACGCGTTTTTAGGCGCTATATGTGAATCCGGCCTAAAGTGACTTAATTTGAACATCCATAATTCAAATGCACATGACGTCAAAATCCTCTGTCTTGATTCATCTATGAGTCTTATACCAAAGAAAGAAAATATGTGACAAGCGATATACTGTTAGCGAACATCAACCGCTGCCTTCTCAGCTGAAAGCGGCGGTTAGATGAATATGTGCAGAACGCTTTATTTTAATAAAGCATAAGAAAAGCATTTGATCGTAGCAACGTGGATATGATTGCACAAGCTCTGCAATTCGGCACTCCAGTAAAGTCACGTTACGTTTATTTATATAGCACTATAGAACAGATTGTTTAAAATCAAGCAGCTTTACCATATTAAACATGAAACGTTTTACGTCTGACCTTTATGGACTCAACAGAAGAAATGAACCTGAAAAGATTTCGACGTGAAAAAGGCGGAGCCTCCGCGCACACCTAATTTTGCCGTAATCGCCATAGTAAATGGTAGCACAAAGGAAAAAGTTTGGCATGGTTTTATTTCAGTTAGCCATAGCTGGTTTGATTTGCATTGAGATGATTTTATGGAAATTAGTACCCCATGCCAATCTCCAGGTATGGTGAAGGGTATGTGATGATGTGGGGCTATTTTAATTCCAAAGCTGTATGCATAGTATCCTGGATCCATGAAATAACTGGCCTTTAAAAATATACAAATATGCCTGCCTCTATGGGAATTTAACATAGTGGTGTCCTGACTTATGCACCCTGTATTTTAAGGAAGAACATTTATTTATTTACGATACATTATTCATTCACAAAGAAATGTTTTTTTTTTTTACTTATTTAGGCATTAAGATCAATTTCCAAAAGATTATTTTTTATTCTACTTTTTAGTCAACTTTAGCATTCACGTATGCTAAGCACTGTATATAATGCAAAAATATTTCTGTTCGAAATGTTGATTGATGTGTACAGAACAGTTTCTGTACAATAAGCATATGCTGAACATAGCCAAGGTTTGTGACGTGTGTATACCTGTGTGTTTGTCTGATGAGCACGGCTCGGTGTAACTGCTTCTGTAGATTAGCACTAGCAGGGCCGCAGGAGTGAACAAAGGGATGGACAGCAGCCAGTACGAATCCCTTCCGATACAACTCACACACCTGCACTGGAAGCTCTCTGACTGACGACAGACACAGCAATGAGGACACTGACACCTCTGAAGAGAGAGAGAGAGAGAGAGAGAGAGAGAGAGAGAGAGAGAGAGAGAGAGAGAGAGAGAGAGAGAGAGAGAGAGAGAGAGAGTCAGACAGGCACACAGAGAGAAATAAGCGGAGAAAGGAAATAATGTTATCTATCATCATAAAAAAATATTGTTGAAATGAACTCACCACCATGACAACTTACTTCTAATAATTAGAATATTTAGAGAATATTTAGATGCAGGTCGTTTTAAGAAAATTATGTTTTTTATGTCTTATGTTATTTAAGTCTATCTATGTCTATATTTGAGCTAATGTGCAAAGTTATTGTCTTTTATGATGTTATCAAAACTTTAGCACACAGAGAGAAATAAGCGGAGAAAGGAAATAATGTTCTATCATCATAAAAATTTACAGTTGAAATGAACTCACCACCATGACAACTTACTTCTAATAATAATAATAATAATATTAAAACAAATAAAGAAAAATTCCCCCCCCCCTCCAAAAAAAAAAATATATATTTTGAAAAAAATCTTACTGATGCGCACACATGCACACAAGCACGCACGCACACACACACACACACACACAAAACAAATTATGTCAATCAGTGAGATTTCAGAAAGATTTTTGTTTAACTTAAAAAATTAAGTAACCTGGTTGCCTTAAAATTTTAAGTTGATTGAACTGGAAAAAGTGATTTTATACAATGAAGGAGACTGATAATCATCATAAACTAAAAATAATAAGTTATCTGAACTAAATAAATTATTTAAGTTGATTTAACAAAAGAAAAAATGTTGTGATAACAAATCTTGAAGATATTTTTTTACACTGTACAAAAATTTTTTTATGTCAGCATGTAAAGGAAAATGTATCAGCATGTTAGAATGATTTCTGAAGGATCATGTGACACTGAATATTTGAGTAATGACTGCAAATTCAGCGTTGGCATCACAGGAATAAATACAATTTTAGAGGTATATCAAAGCTGAAAACAGATATTTTAAATTGTAATTACATTTCACAATAATACTGTTTTATTCTATTTTTTATCACATAAATGTACCCTCAAAAAATCTTACCAAATCCAAACTTTTGACATTTAAGGGATGTCTAATGAATGAAAAAATAAACCACTAGATAGTAATAAATGTGACAACTAGCCCTAGTCCTTCACATATGTCAATGTACCAAAACTGATGAATAATGAATTTATTTTCATAACACAATATCTACATAAACTAATATATTCACCCCCACCACATACTTATGTGGAAACAGGGAGGAATGACGAACAACAAAAATTAGAAGATAGGTGCAAACATTTCATTCACAGCCATCTCTGGCGCAAAAAAAAAAAAAAAAAAAAAACGTGTTAAGAAGCTCATTTTCTGACACTCTCACTGAAATGCCGTATAAATAGTTTGAAAGTATTCTGATGAAATGGTTTTACAAGCAAATTGTTTCTGTGATCAGTAATTAAAGTTAATTTCCAGCGCTCATTATTCAGGGTTGCAGTGAGCTGTAATCTGAGCACTGCTTGACTGCAATCATCTTTCAGAGGTGTGACGAGCTCGTTTAAACAAAACTGTGACGGTCTGAACACGCTCTCGCTCTGAGGGGGGTTTATTAGTGTTCCCAAAGAGGAAATAACAGCACGGTTCACAGCCAGATAAACGTTTAGGTGAAATGAGTGCATATGTGTCATTTCTGTGATGCAGTGGGAATTTCACGGTTTGGATGCAGGTCATTTTAAGAAAATTATGTTATTTATGTCTTATGTTATTTAAGTCAATATATGTCTATATTTGAGCTATTGTTCAAAGTTATTGTCTTTAATGATGTTATCAAAACTTTAGCACAAAAACTTTATTTGTTCATCATTCATGAATTTTTTTTTTGTCCAAAATGTTTAGTTGAACATTTGTCAAACATTTTTTAAATGTTACTACGCTTTAAATGTTCAGATAACATTTAAAAGTAACATTCCCTTAATAATGTTTGCAAAATTATACAATGGAATGTTCCCTTAAAGGAGTAGTTTACTTTAAAAAAAAACTTTTGCTGATAATTTACTCACCCCCATGTCATCCAAGATGTCCATGTCTTTCTTTCTTCAGTCGAAAAGAAATTAAGGTTTTTGATGAAAACATTCCAGGATTTTTCTCCATATAATGGACTTCAATGGGAACCAAACGGTTCAAGGTCCAAATGAGAGTTTCAGTGCAAACTGTTCAAAGGGCTTTTTAAACGACACCAGACGATGAATAAGGGTCTTATCAAGCGAAACGATCGGCCATTTCAAAAATAAATAAAAAAGTTTAAGTTTTATAAGCACAAATGCTCGCCTTGCTCTGTTCTGTGATGAACGTTCGTGACTCTCCTGTTCAAATTCGTTCATCAAAATAAACAAATCTTTTTTCAAGTCATGACTTGAAGGGTCCTAGATAAGACCCTTATTCATCGTCTGGTGTCGTTTAAAGACCTTTTAGACCTTAGACTTTTAGACCTTTGACATTTTTAGACCTTGGACGTTAGACCTTTGAAGCTGCACTGAAACTCTCATTTGGACCTTGAAATGTTTGGTTCCCAATAAAGGCCATTATATGGGGAAAACGCTGGCATGTTTTCATCAAAAACCTTAATTTCTTTTCAACTAAAGAAAGAAAGACATAGACATCTTGGATGACATGGGGGTGAGTAAATTATCAGCAATTTTTAAAAAAAAGTGAACTACTCCTTTAACGTTCACAAGATCAAGAAAAAAACATTTTGTATTAGCTGGGAGGTTTGGAATAGTTTTTCTTATAATTAAAATGTGTAAACCTTCTATGTGTTAAAACAAATTAAGATTTGAAATGAAAATACAAAGAAGTTGTGCTCAAGGGATGCATTTATTATTTTTTTGAAAACAGTTGTGCTGCTTAATATTTTTATAGAAACGGTGATAGATTTTTTTTTTCAGGAGACTTTGATGAATAGAAAGTTTAAAAGAACAGCATTTGATTGAAATATAAATATTTTGTAACATTATAAATGTGTTTTTTTATCTATTGTATTTTTTTTATCATTGCAAAATTATAGTAGTAGTTTCTCCCCGCAAGAAAAATCTTAATGACCCCAAACTTTTTTTCGTAACCAAAACAAAATTAGCCACTCTCTCAAATATAACGAGAGAAGGATCACATTTAAAAACAAAATTAATACAAAACACAGTTAAACTACTGTTCAGTACGCTCCACCTAAAAGGCAATTGTAACCAATTGTGCCATAAATCAGTTGTCTCAAACTCACGGCCAATATTTTGTGGTCCCCTACTTGATATTAAATTTTAATGTTAGTGCGGCCCGTTTTTTTTTTATCCCTTTTTTTAATAAATTTTTTTTTTAGACAACCGAGAAGTACAAACATACTGCGCCTGGAAAAACTGAGCGTGTTGCTTCAATTACGAGCGCGCTTGCCGCACGCCTACATTTGAAATAACGAACTTGAGCGCGCAAAATATGTAAGCGCGATATATGTACCACTCGATATATAGCTCGCGAACGACGTGTTGGAGACCCCAGCTCTAAAACAATGTGAGAATAATCATTTTGAGCTTGTAATATGTGTCCAACAGGTTGATAAGAAGGTTTGCTTTGATTTGTGCAAAGTCAGTAATTTGCCTCTTTGGACACTATGTGTAGAAATAATTCAATAGGACGGGCAGACATGATGGCAAATATTTGTATTTCAAAAGAAATATTTTCCAAAGTATAATTAAAGAAAATGTGCCTTCCAAAAAAACATTTAATATCATTAATGTGTTGAATAAAGAAAATAAAAAAGGACATGAGCAAATATAATTATCACAAAGATGTGTCTTGAAATGATCTTCAACTGTCTGAAGGACAGCTTATGAAGAACCAATCATGTACAGAAAGGAATGTTCAACTTCAGAGGAACAGTTCCTCAATAAAGATTGAGAAGATTGGATCAGTTGTGCTCCTTTTTTGGAATACTTGAAGACTATTTTTGTGGAATACTTCATGCGGCCCAGCCTGACCCAGACCGCCGTAAAGCAAGTCAAATTTGTAGTTTTCTTATGTCTCATTTGGACTACAGAAACGCGACCCGATCTGGCAATCTTACATTGCGTTGATAAATGACCGCAAAGCGGTGGCATAAGTGCATTTCACCATGTCACGACTTGATGAACCACTGAAACGATTTTGAAAATATTATTTTAAGGTAAAAAAAAATATCATACTTAGTCAGTATAAAGTCAAGGGTAAAAATCGTTTCTGACCCCTTTATCCCTTATGACACACTCTCATAAAACTTCACTAAATAACAAAATCTGTTTGCAATCATCAGGTAGTGCTGAAACAGCGGAAATGTCTCAGACTTTATGATGTCTATTAACTCCACTCCGGTCCAGAGCATGAACTATATTAACCAGCACATCATGCGAAAGGCCTGTGGCAAAGGACACTCTGCTTCAGCTATGCATGAGAGAAGGAGAAAATGCTTTTGTTTGTGTAGGACCTACACACACACAGAGAGAGAGAGAAGATTTGACCAAATATATGATAATCTGTCCTTATATTTACTACAGGGAAATTCCACCTTTATAAGACAGAATGTACTCAGTAGGGGGTTAAACACTCCAGTAAACAGTCCTCCTCAGTGACATACTCCACCTCAAGAATGCAGCCTTCTGAATGAATATTCCCCACTCTAAATCCACACAAAATGAGAAGCAGAGACTTTGGTACATCAGTTAAACTCCACCTGCTGAGAAACATAAAATGTGCAAAAATTTCTCAGCACAATCACACTAGTCTAAATCCTTTCGGGATTTTCTGGATCTAGCTGTGTGTTAAACACCTTAGACAATCATAGATTTGAACGGACTATGTGCGTTTGTAATGGAGTTGTTAGAGTTTCCAAGTGTGATTATCTAAAATCCAAAAACACTGAAAGAATCTGCTCTGTTTTATTTAAAAGAGCTCAAACTAACAGGACACAA